GGGAAATGCAGCCTGCAATTCAGGTTACAATTAGGGACCAGGCGGGAGCAGCAGACTTCTAGGTCTGAGAATCTCAGGGACTCTTGAGCATCGCTGGTCTTTCCTGGGAACGCAGCTCAGCTCACCCTCATCCCTCCAGGGGCTGCTGCGTCCCTGCTTCCCCAGTGCCCGCTGCGCTCCTTCAAGAAGCGTCTTGCTGTGATTGGCTGAGCCTGAGGTTGTTGCTAGGCTACCAGTCCGCTGGAGACTGAGGCCCCAGAGTCCCATCCCCCAGGGCAGATCCATCCTACACAGCCGACCTAATTCGGGCACCCTCTAAATGGGATCCCCAGCCATTTAAATTGTCAGCTACCAAATGCCTATCTTTCTAGGATTTTTCACTTAGTAAGAGGCCTTGTGGAGGATGGAAAAAGAGAAATCGATTTTATTCTGAGTCACCTTGAATAGCTGCTTTTCTGTCAGGATCTCGGTGTCCTCCTTCCATTGCTGGGGCTCATTCATGTATTCATTATTCAAGTGCGAATTCATGTTTATTAAGTTCCAGGCGCTTTATCAGGTGCTAGAGACAAAGGGATGAACAAGAAAGAGACCATCCTTGCCCTCACAAAGGGAGAGACATCAGGCACTTAAGCAAATAAAGAAGACAAACACACATCTGATTATCCCTTTCCTTCCCCATCAGTGATTTTTCTGCCCCCACTTTCCTCACTAGATCTGTAGGACCCCCCATGCTGCCAGGGGAGAAATGCCTTGGCCACCCCTGCCTGTGCTACGTGGCACCAGGAAACACACTCACACTCTGAAACAGGGTACACACCCTCACCTCCACAGTGCTTTAACTCTGCTCTTTTGCATCCACTCGTGAGCCTCAGCACACCTTCATAAAGGTGAGGGGCAGGGAGCATGGTGCCTTGTTCAGGTGAGAAAGCTGACAGGCAGAAACATTGAGAAGGTGTTCCTGTGCTCACGTGGGGAGTCACTGGCATACCAATATCGAGCACTTACTACATGTGAGCACTTAAGATACCACCTGCCTCGTAACAACCCAGTAAAGTAAGTACCATTAGTCCCATTTTATAGGTGGCAAATTGAGGCTGGAGGAAGTTATATCACTTGCCAGTGATGGCCCAGAGAGCATGTAGCAAAGCTGGGATTTGAACCAAGTCTGTCTGACTCCAATGCCTGAGCTCTTTCCAAGAAATGGATCTGGCCATAGAAAACAGTAAAAGACCCTGAGTGGCTGAGGTTGAAGCAGCTTCCAAATGACCTCAAGTTCCAAATAAACTTCCCTGAGGATCTTATTTATTTGTTTGTTTGTTTTCTTACGGGAGTTTTTAGCACTACAGACTCATAAAACCTGGTGAACTTGCCATGCTTACCAATATAGTTAACTTTGTCTTCTATCCATTCATTAGAGATGATCTTGCCTTCAAGCTTTTATTGGGTGATTAAGTCTAGTAGCTCTTCCTTGTGAATATCTCCATTATTTGCTTTACCTCCCTGTCAGGTTTTCCTTTTCCTTTGTTCACACACTGAACAAACATTGGGCACCCACCAATCAGTCATGGTTGGCAGGGGTGAGTATGGCTCATCCCTGCCCTTGAGGAGTTCCCAGCTTACAGCAAAGGCTTCTGAAGGGCCTTCTACGGGCAAAGCACCACGGTAGGCCATAGAGGGAAAGGACCACAAACCAGCCCTCAGAAAATCTCCCTTTTGGCTTGGGAGACAAACTCACCACCCTTAGATAATACAAAGGTGCAAAAGGACATGGCGAGTGTGGGCTGGGGGTGGAAGCAGCCAATCCTGAGTTTCCTGAGGTGCTGTCTTTAAATCCTGCCTTGCCATGGTCGATGTGGGACACTGTCTCAGAGGCCAGCAGCCTGCGGGTTGGAAGGAGGCCTTTAAATGAAAGAAGGTGCTGGGAAGTACAGAGATGCACAAAGAAGCAAGCTAAATTTATCCCTCCTTGCAGCACCCAGCAATTGCTATGCTTAACACTTGACTTCCTACCAACAGAGACTTGCTAACCAGATTAGTTGTTTTTCCCACAGCTGGGGGAGGGGGCGGGGAAGAGAGAGAGACTCTGAAGACAGAGACACACAGAGACCTGAAGGGAAGCAAGGAGAAGCAGAGATAAAGGCATTTGTTGATATGCGTCCCCCTTGAGCAGCAGGAACGGATATTAAACTGGGCACCTGAGTGGGAGAAATCAGACAACCTCCTGTCCCTTCCCTCCCTGCCTACATGATTCTGGCCAGAGCATTGCTAATTTCCAGGTAGCGCTGCTTTTAGGTGTAAGGGTATTGGAGATGTCTATACCAATTCTATTGTTTTGGCCACTGCTCTGTCTCTCTCACCCACCACCACCCCTGAATAGCTGAGTTGATTGTAATTGGGTAACATAAAAAGCCATGATTAAAACAAGCATTACAAGACTAATTATGCACATGCCCTTGACCTAGCATTGCCACCTCTACTCCCATCCTAAGGAAAATAAGAAAGGACACAGGCAAAGAATTTAACATGAGAGTATTAATTACAGCACTGTTTATAAAAGCAAGAAGCCAAACTAAACGGCCAACCCCTTTTGGGGACCCACTCGATAGATAACCTTATAACCTTAGAGTAGCTCTCCATGCTGCTTGTAAATTAGGTTGTAAGTGGGGACTTACTGGTGGGAAAGACATGATTTATTAGGTGGAAAAAGCAAATCACGAAACAGTATGAATAAACTGACTCCATAAAAGTATTCTTGTAAGTAAGAATACATATAAAATACATACTTAATTTCTGGGTGAAGGGATTCTGAGTCATTTAAATTTTTTTCTTTTTGCTATCTGTATTAAAAAAATTTCCTCATAATGGACATGCATTTCTTATGCAATAGGAACACATTTCCTTCCACTGGTCCCAGTGAGTGCCTCCTGCCGACAGTCCAGGACTGTATGAGCACACTGACCGAGTCACTCCTGGCTCCCACGCCCTGTGGGAAAGGCCACCGACCCTTCTGTGACCACTTCAAGTTGCTCATTAAGAATTCCAAAGACAGCATGTCCCCACCCTAGTCTGACTCCCTATCCCAGCTGGTCTTGTAGACTCAGTGACCCACCAGTTTGGTATCCAGATGTCCAGTTGTTTCATTACCTGCTGGTGGTTTGGCCGCCACCTTCCCTTAAGGGAAAATGTCGTTTGTGCAAGTTGACGCATGGAAAAGCTGACCTCGCTAACACCGCAGATGCTTCCCACCTCCCAGGAGCACCCTCCCCTCTGAGGGGGTGAAATTAAGATGCTCTGTTGCTCAGACAGTCCCTACTACACACATGCAGCTGCGATTCTAAATGATGGTGAGAAGGGTTGTCACCATGGAAACTCAGGCCTTGCTCAGCCTCGGATAGACCCAACACCCAGAGAAAGAAGGTGGGGTGGGAGTCAAAACAAACCCCGCCTGGCTGTCTCACCTCAGGAAGGGAACCTAGTGATTCTCTGACTCAGTTTCTATATCTGCAAAGTGATGTGGAAGCTCCTTATTTTATCTACCTCCGGGATTAATGAGGAATAACCTGTGGACCATAAAACATAAGAGGAGCAGAGCATCGGTGGCCTTGGTTTGTCCCCGCATTGTTGTGTGGGACTTTGGGCAAACCACTTAAACTTTCTGTGCCACAGCTGCTCTATTTGCAAACAGAGAAACAATGTTCACTGTGATAACTTCCCCAGACATATTGTCAGGCTCCCGTGAGAACATCAGAATCTCAAAATTAGGAAGAACCTTAACCCTAACTGCCCATCCAGGAATCCCTTTGATAAGTTCTCTGACTGAGGTGCTTGTCCTGCCTCTGCTTGATTACCTCTAGTGGCAGAGAGTTCATGACTACACGTTTTCCCAGTAGCCATTGCTACATGATGCTGATTGTAAGAAAGTTCTTCTATATAGGATGTTTTACAGTTAAACATTTGTTTTAAAATTTTAGCAGTTATTTCTAGAGCTATTTTCAGTCCTGACTTTACCAGAGAGTTCCCACCAGGTAGAAAATAGAGCAATCAGCAAGCTGCAGGAATAGGCCTGGCTCTGGAAACTTGCGGCTTGGTTGAGTGGAAGGAGTATGGGTTCCAGGACCACACATCATCTACGTCAAAATCCCACCTTGTCCACTTACCAGGTAGTTGGTCTTGGGCAAGTTATATTACCTTTCTGAACCTCAGGTTCCTGGTCGGTAGGGTGAGGAGAGAAATACCTACTTCATAGTACTTCTTAGTAAGCCTATAACCCAAACTTCCCCAGTAGATTCTGAGATTGCGGGGGTGGGGTGCTTACACCTTCTTCTGCCACACCCCTGAACAACAAACACATCTGCCCTCGGAGCCCCAGAAGGCCTGCCTCCCCCTCCGGGGGCGCCTGCAGCACAGCTGTCTTTCACGGGTCAGGGCCTTCTTCACCTGGAGCCTGTTCCGGGGGCCAGAAAGGGAAGATGACGCCATGGTTTCAGGACAAAGTTCACCGCCCATCTCTACCGCCCACCCCCGTAATTCATCTGCCTCAAGGCCTGCACCCCGCCCTGCACACAGATTAGCTGGCACTAAATCAGTGTGCCAGGGTGTCGCTTGGGGAGGGCTTTCAACTGCGTCATGTTTTGATAGGAACCTCTAATAGGACAAAGCCTCTGAGACTCCAGAAGAATGCAGTCCAGTGGTAGCCTGCCAGGCACGGTGACGGGAAGCCGGGGAAAGCTCTTTTGGGATGGGAAGGTGGTCCTTTGCCTCAGTGTGAATGGAGTCAGGATGCCTTGGTCTAGTTCTGATGTTGACCAGCTGTGGGATCTCCAGAGGCGGTGACTTGATTTTTCAGTGCCTTGCTCTCCTCGTGTGCAGAATGGCAGGTGGGCACCTGAGCCCTTCCCTGCTTTAGAATTCTGCATTTTTCCATGTGTTGGATGCAGGATTAGATGAAAAATCGCCGTCGCCGGGCGCTGACCTCCCACTCCTCTCTGCTTTCTCCACAGGCGAGTACCTCAGATTCCTTAATGTGGGTGTGGCTGAAGTGAAGAAATACTTCCTGGGGCCCCTGGCCCCCTCCTGCAAGATGGTGCAGATGATGAGGCAGTTTCTGTACTATGCCCTGCCTGAGGACTCCTACAAGGCTGCCACCGGGAAGCTCCATGTGGCCCTCACCCGGCTCACAGATGGAGAGAGTGTTGTGGTCTCAGAGTACAGGTCCAAAGAAGAGCTCATCGAGGCAAGGGGGCGGGGCCGGGGCGGGGCGGGGGCGGGGCAGGGGAGTAGGCGGGGCCCAGAGTAGGGGCGTGGCCTTGGAGTGGGGCAGGGGAGGAGAGGTTGGAGGCTTAACTGGTCCTGCTTCTCTTGACTGGCCCCTGGGATGATCTACCTGTCTTCCTCCCTTCCATCTGTTTTCTGCTTTCCTGATCCTTCCCTCCATTCACCCTCCCGACATCTCTCTGTGTCAGGCACACTGTCAGAGGAGATGGACAGAGAAACACCCAAGACAAATCCAACATGGTCACCATACCCAAGACTTCAGCACCCAGAGTCCCCAGGGGCTCAGCCCCTCCTTTTGCCTCTGCCGTGCCCTGGAACTAATCGTGGAGCTTCCCAGAAGCTGAGTGTTACCAGCAGAGGTCCCTTGTCTCCTTTAGGGCCTCTCAGTTTTAATCACTTCCAGTTTGTGGCTACAGCCTTCCTCTCTACCTCCCTCGTCCAATGGTCCTTGACAAAAGGATTGAATTATCACTAAATGGGTTATCACTTTGGAAAGTGCTCTCTGACAGTGTACTGTTCTAACCTCATTAATATAAAATTTAGCTGTGAATTGCTATTGCTGGAGAATGCGGTGGATATACCCAATTTTCATTCATGACAAAGGGGTTAAGCTGCATGACCCTCTATCTTATATTTTTATTCCCCGCCCCTCCCCTGAATACAAGCCCCTTGCCACATGTCCTCACATCCCCACACTGGCCTGGCCGTGATCCTGGGGGTGGAGGATGAGTAGACAATGGGCATGGGTACTTCTTCCACCCACCTCATACCCACCTGGGTTGGTTAGCACCAGCTCTTCATGACTTTTCTCTCCAGTCTTATTCCACCACCTTCCACTTCTATCCCCGCCAACCAGAGCAAACCACACAGCAGGTCTTTGTGCCTTTGTGCCTGCCACGCCCTCTGCCTGGGAGGCCCTTCTCTCCTTCTCACTCCCCTTCACCCGCTTAAGAAGACTCCAGCCACTGCTGCCGGGGAACTTTCCTTCATCCTCTGCTTGCCCCACAGCCCCCTCAGTTGGGTGCTCCTCCTTTGGGGCCACAGTGCCCATGCTCACCTCCATCACAGCACCTGTCACCCCTGCTTGCTTACTAGTCCCCCTCTTTCAGCATTCCCAAGGTGGGCATCAAACCCTCCCTTGAGACCAGGGCCTGACCCAAGCCAGATATACATTGATGCTTGTTGAATGCCATTGGATTTATGAAAATTTAGTGCTGGAAGGGGCCCTGGAGATCATCGAGGTTCCCCTTTCCCTTTAAAGCTGGGACACAAGGCCCAGACTGACCAACTTGGTTACCAAGGACCCAGCTGATTAGGGCCAGGACAGGGACTAAACTTGGGAGGAAGGCAGCACCTCCACCCTGGGTTTAAGGGAGGCCATGCTGGCGGCGCCCCAAGGCCCCGTGGCCTCAGGCATCTGAGCCCTGTTCTTCCCCCGCAGGCCCTCTACTGCAGCTGCTTTGTCCCTGTGTACTGTGGTCTCATCCCCCCGACTTACCGTGGTGTGGTGAGTGCTTCAATGTGGGAGGGGGGTGAGCCAGGATCCAGGGGTGCCCCAGAGCCCCTGTGACCCACATCTGAGAGGGCAGAGGGGTGGTCTCAGAATTCAGTGGGAAGAATACGATTTGGAAAGGTTCCTATATTATTCTGCTTGGCATTCCCAGCATACATAGGTTTCTGGGGCTTTAAGATGAACTTTCCCAACTAGATTGGGCTTCCGTCTGGACACACCAATTGTTTACTGAACCTGGCAAATCAAGACGCTGCAGGCTTTTCAGATTTTCACAGACTCAGAAGAGACTATAAAATGCAGACCCTGCCCTGGCTAGTGTGGCTTAGTGGCTGGAGGGTCCCGTAACTGAAAGGTTGTAGATTCAGTTCCTGGTCAGGGCACACACCTAGGTTGCAGGTTCATCCTCAGTTTGGGCACGGGCCTATAAGACCCCTGGTCCAGATGTGTAGGGTCACTGGTCCTGGCCCGGATCCCCGGTCTGGGGGTTGGAAAGCAACCAATTGATGCTTCTCTCCCATTGATATTTCTCTCTCCCTTCCTCTCCCTCTATAAAAGCAAATGAAAGTGTCCTCAGGTGAGGATAACAAATTTTTATAAATAAAAAGTAAAAAAATACAGACCCTGCAATACTGGTACCCAAAACCTTGAATGGTAGACACCTTCGGGGTCATCTAGACTAGTGCCTCCCAAATTTTAATGTGCCCAAGATTCCCTCAGGAATCTTGTAAAATAATGCATCCAAGTTAGCCTGGGGCAGGGACGAGACCCTGCACCTCTGACAAGCCTTGGCTGATGTCCGAGCTGCTGGTGCCCTGCAGGTCCCCTGCTGGTCCCTGGACCATGGCCTGAGCAGGAGGGTCTAAGCCATGGCCCCCTCTTCATTTCATATGTAGAGAAAATGAGACCCGAGACTGAGGCTCGGCTGGCAGACGGAGCCCAGCTTGCATGTCAGCCACGTACTTCTCAGTTACCCCAGAGAGTTGGAGCCTCAGTATCTGTGCACCTTTATTCATAGTGGAGGAAACAGGAGCCCCGGGGGGAAGGGACTTGGGGGCCAGTCAGGGGTGCTCTGAAGAGTGTCAAAGGGGCCTGACCTCATCGCGGGGGCAGGTTAGTACTGTGGCCACCTGGAGAGAGCCCTTCCCAAGCTGCTCAGACCCACCATGTGTGCTCCTCCTCCTCAGGCCGTGGGGACGAACTCCATTCCCCAAGCCTCCCCTCAGCCACTGAGTGACCCCAGGAGGGGTAGTCTGAGATGGGTAGCTGTGACGGGGAACATCTGCTTCTGCTCTATGCAGTGTACGATGCTTCCTCCCCCACAGAGGCCTGGGAGCCCATCTCAGCACCAGTAAGATGACTGAGGGAGCTCATGCAGGAACAGAGCAGGGTGGTCCAGAAGACACTGTGGGCTCACCCTGTGACCTTGGGCACACCACTCACCCACCCCGACCTTGGTCCCGAGGCTTGTCCTGAGGGACCCATTTCCTTGGTGTACCCCCCTCTGACCCCATGTGAGCATTTCTCCCTCCGTCTCCCACAGCGGTACATCGATGGAGGCTTCACGGGCATGCAGCCCTGCTCCTTCTGGACTGACGCCATCACCATCTCCACCTTCAGTGGGCAGCAGGACATCTGCCCCCGGGACTGCCCCGCCATCTTCAATGACTTCCGCATGTTCAACTACTCCTTCCAGTTCTCCCTGGAGAACATCACCAGGATGACCCATGCCCTGTTCCCCCCAGACCTGATGGTGAGAGAGAGGGGGTAGGGGATGGGGATGGTGGCAGGGACTGGGGTGCCACAGGGGAGTCTGTGGGGCCCACTCTGTCTCCTCTGTGTCTTCTCCCCTCAAATGATGCCTTAAACTTCCTCCTCAACCTATGTCCTGGCCTTTTCACTAATGAGCTGTGGGATCTTGAACAAATCCCCTAGGGCTCCCAGCCCCAATATTCTCCCCTGCAAAATGCAGTGATGTCAGAATCACTGATAGGAATATTAACTAAACTCTGATGTGTAATGTCAGGTCAGCAGACTATGGCCCATGGGCCAAATTCAGCCTATGGCTTGTTTTTGTACAACCTGTGAGCTAAGAATGGACTTTTCATTTCTAAAGGGCTGCGAAAAGAGAAGAAGAAATGACAGGGACTGTATGTGGCCTGCAAAGCCCCAAATATTTACTACTGAGCCTTTACAGAAAAGGCTTTGTGGGTACACACTTGTGACCCTTCAGCATCCTCCGCAATAGATATTACTATTATCCCCATTTTACAGATGAAGAAACTGAGATCATAAGAGGTTACACTCACACAGCCACACAGGCAATACGTGGAAACACTGGGATTTGAACCCAGTCTCCACACTTTGCTCTTCACATGGCCCAAATGCACCATCTCTGCTTCTGCTATAAACACCTCACCATCTCCCCCTCCCAGGGGAAGCTGATGGTTGGCTTCACACATTGACACGGCACCACGATGGACACATGACCAGGAACTGCTCCCGGTCCTTAGCAGAGAGTTAAGGACACGAGATGGGTACATTTTGAAGAGCCCATCGAATCAAGCCCGAGAGCGATGAAGGCAGCTTCCCTGGGTGAGGGGACAGCGGCTGTCGCTGTTGCGCAGCCTGAGTGTCTTCCCGGTGTGCCCACCTTGCAGGTCCTGCACAATTACTACTACCGGGGGTACGAAGATGCCGTTTCCTACTTGAGGAGGCTCAGTAAGTACAATGCGGAGTCCGAGGAGGGGGGCCTGGAGGGTGGGCAAAGACAGGAAGTAGAAGGGCTGAGTAAAGGAACATTCCCCCCAAATTTGTGACCTGAAGGTGCCCTTCACCCAGGACAGCCGGACATGGGCACAGGGACCAGACGGCCTGCTGTGTCCCAGGACACAGGCCACTGAGGCCAGAAATTGGAGTCTCTGTGGGAGAGAGGCTATTAGGGTAACTGATGGAATAGTGTCCTGGGCTTTGTACAAATATGTTTCTGGGTTTAAAAACTATATGGAGACTTTCACCAAGATAGAGGCGTAGGTGGAAGCACTGTGCCTTCTCGCACAACCAAGTTTAAAAACAACAAAGTTTTAACAACAAAAATGCAGCCAAACCACAGAAAATTGAACTACACGAAAGTCTGACAACAACGAACCCTTCAGCCAAACTGGTAAGAGGGGCAGAGCCAGCAGCAGAGCAGGGTAGGGCAGGAAAGATCCAGAGGACTGACCCGGGCGCACGACCCAGGTGTGCCAGCAGCTGTGGGCAGATCCCAGGTGTGGAGAAGCGGGCGGACCCACTGAGGGTGCAAGGCCATGGACCCACTGAGGGCTGATCGAGGTCACATATTCGCGTGCAGATAAACCGGTGAAGGAGCGAGCGGTGAGACAGACTGCACAGGCCCCAGGAGTGGAAAGAGGCAGAGGGGACCGCTATTGTCCCTCTCTGACCCCCACCCCCACATACAGCATCACAACCCAGCAACCTGGGTGGCCCCGCCCTGGTGAACAACTAAGGCTCGGCTCCTCATACCTAACAGGCACAAACAGATCAAAACATGGCTCAAGAACAACTCAGAGCCCCAGAGCCGATAAATCTAGCCGATGAAGAAATAGCCAAACTTTCAGATGCACAGTTCAAAACACTGGTGATCAGGATACTCGCAGATCTGGTTGATTTTAGTCACAAATTAGAGGAACATATGAAGGCTAAACTAGTTGAAATGAAGGGAAATGCACAGGAAACCAATAGTAATGGAAAGGAAACTGGGACTCAAATCAAAGGAGTAGACCAGAAGGAGGGAAAAAATGACCAAACAGAAAAGGATGAAGAAACAAGATTTCAAAAAAAGGAGGAGAGGCTTAGGAACCTTCAGGACATCTTTAAATGTTCCAACATCCAAATTATAGGGGTACCAGAGGGGAAGAGGGACAGCCACGAGTGGAAAACTTATTTGAACAAATAATAAAGGAGAACTTCCCCAATATGGCAAAGGAAATAGACTTCCAGGAAGTCCAGGAAGTTCAGAGAGTCCCAAAGAAGTTGGACCCAAGAAGGAACACACCAAGGCACATCATAATTATATTAGCCAAGATTAAAATGAAGGAGAGAATCCTAGAAGCAGCAAGAGATAAGGGGACAGTCACCTACAAAGGAGTTCCCATCAGACTGTCAGCAGATTTCTCAAAAGAGACCTTACAGGCAAGAAGGGGCTGGAAAGAAATATTTCAAGCCATGAAATCCAAAGACCTACATCTAAGATTGATCTATCCAGCAAAACTTTCATTTAGAATGGAAGGGCAGATAAAGTGCTTCTCAGATAAGATCAAATTCAAGGAGTTCATCATCACTAGGCCCTTATTATATGAAATGTTAAAGGGACTTATCTAAGAAAAAAGAAGATAAAAAACATGAACAGTGAAAGGACAGCAAACTCACAGTTATTAACAACCACACCTAAAACAAAAGCAAACTAAGAGGAGAGCTAGATCAGGAGCAAACCATACAAATGAAGATCATATGGAGGGTTAGCAACAGGGGAGTGGGAGAAGGAGAAGGGGGGAGAAGGTACAGAAAATAAGTAGCATAGACGGTAGGTAGGAAATAGATAGGGGGAGGGCAAGAATAGTGTGGGAAATATAGAATCTAAAGAACTTGAGACACATGGTCATAAACTAAAGGGGGGATTGGTGGGGGAGGGGGTGTGCAGGGTGGAGGGGAATGAAGGGGGAAATAGAACAACTGTAAGGGCATAATCGATAAAATATATTTAAAAAACTATATTCAAGAAATACATAGCTCATATCTTCTATTCTCTTGTCATTTTAATTCTCTTTTCAATAAAATCATATTGTTAATGTAGAAATAGGTGCAACTAATTCATATTTATGTAAGACTTTGAATGACATATTGATCAACAAATGAGAAAGAAGAGCCCTTGCCTTATGTTGGTTTGGAAATAGTAAATGATAATGGAAAAGTTACAAGAAAAAATAAACTACTAAAAAAGGAGAGAAAGAAATCGTGATGCCCACACCTGTGGGTCATTGGGCAGAAGGAAGATTCTAATGACACGTGTCACCCATTCAACATGGTGAAGGTCACGGTGCGCACCTCTGTTAAAAGGAAAGAAAAAAGCTTTTCCGTACTGAGAGTTAAGTCCATAGACCGTATTTCCCAAACCAAGGGATTGCTGGCTCAGAGGTTGCTCCCCAATGTTCTATCCTGTATTCTCCGTGTTGTGGTGTGGTCTTTATAACTGTTTTTTGGGGGAAGTTGTATAATATTTCACCACCATTGTACAGAAGCTTCGCTCATTCCTCTGCATTTCCGAGTGTTCAGTAAGCACTGCTGGGGTGTACTTTTTGTGTATATGGATTTTAAAAATATTTGGGGAGTGAGATTAAGGGCTCGAATAAGGGTTTTTCCTAGGGCATATTCACTTTTTTTTTCTTTCAAAATTGCTTCCTGCTTTCCCAAGCTCCCCTTGTCCTAACCCTTTGCTTTCTCCCGACAAGGGTGAGGGTGGGGATCACGAGAGCAGGATGGAGAGAACCGGGGCTCCGGAGGGTGCCCATCCCTCTGGCTGTGTGACCTCAGGGTGATCACTCCCCTGCTCTGGGCCCTGGTTTCCTAATCTGTAAAAAAGTTTAGAACCTGGTTCCTGATACCCACCAACTGTGCGACCGGAGCAGGCAGTTAACCTGGGGCTTCAGGGCTCTCATCTGGTCCTGGAAGCTACCTGGGAGGTCACTGTGAAGGTTGAAGGAGAAAAGCCACCTGTAGCCCTTAGCACAGTGCTCAGATAACTGGTAGTTGCTGCAATGACATCAGACTTCTATATCCTTGCCCTGGTCAGTCCAGTCCCCTGCCCCCTGTGACCTCTAAGACAGGCCCCTCCCACACCCTCCGCAGGACAGACTCCTTCTAACCCTGACTCTCTCCTCTGGCGACTCCGCTGTCCTCCACATTTGCACAGGTGACAGTAAAGTGGTGAAAAGTGAGCCCCAGCTGTCCAGGAGTGAATGAGTTGAGGGGCATCATGGGGTGGGGGGTACAGATATGGCCTCAGGAATAAGAGGGGCTGGCTGGGGCCTAGGGCCCCTCACCACCCGCTAGGGAACCTTCCATGCTCTCCTCAGTGGCGGTGTAGGCTGGGACCCAGGGCTTGGGGGCTCCTCTGATGTGGGGCTCGGATCTTGGAGCAGACACCAATATCCTGCCCCAGGAGACCCCTTTCTGCCCCAGGTTACAGCCTGGCCACTGGCTGCTCCATACCAGTTTCCGCTCTAGAAACTTTCCTTTCGCTTCCTCACAGGGCAAGCCCTGGGCAGAGTCACAAAGTGTGTGCTTAAGCATCTCTAGCTCCCTTCCCCGCTTCTCAGCAGCACCTCCTCCCACACTTCCGCTGGGAAGGACCCAGCGCCTTCCACCCTTAGCTGGCGCGGACATTTTCGCAGGTAGGAATGGTGGTCCTAAACCCGAGGATGAAACTCTAATAGTAGCGTTCCAGGCATCCACTCCTGACTTGGGACAGGATAAGGAGGGTGGCGGGATTTCCCAATGGACCTGGAGCCACTCCAGGTAGGAACAGGACAGGTCACCAGGGAGACCAGTAGTTTTACCTCCTCTTCCAGTTTGCCAGGGTGTGTGTGACTTTCTAGTACAAGTTTCAGCGCCACCACCTAAAACCTCTTGGGTTTGGTTGGGCTGGATTTTTCTCTAGTCACTGGTGCGAGCAGGGGGTACTAACAGCCTGAATAAGTGGGGTTTTCGTCCCTACTTGCCATCTGGGGACAGAAAGGGGGAGTCTACCCCAGCCTCCTGCCCAGCTGCTTTCTGGGGTGCGGGGGGTGGGGGGTCAGCTCCAGCAGGAAGCCACATCCACAGTGTCACCCTCAACTGGACCCACGCCCTGGCCCCTCTTCCGCCACCTCCTAAGGGCTCACATCCATTTCACTATCCCTGCTGCCGGGCGAGCCCCCCTCTCCATGCCTGGCCTCCCTGGCAGCAGCCTCCTGCCCAAGGGAAGGGCGTGCTCGCCGGTGGCTTGAACGCCCTCCTTCCCCACACGGGCAGGTGCAGTGGGCGTTGAGTGAGGTTGGAGCTCAGACGATGCCATGTTTAAAAATAGCCATTTGGCCTCCAGGTTCCTCCAGCCAAACCTACCTACCCCCCTTCTTCCCCCCTTCCCTCCCCTCCTGCCTTCCCGCCATCCTTCCTTTTCTCTCCCTCCCTTCCTGCCTCTCACAGTTTGATGTTTTCACACACACACACACACATACACTCCTGTGAAACAGCACCACTGTCAGGGCAGTGAACAGTCCATCATGCCACACACTCGCACACACACACACACACACCTGTGAACAGCACCAGATCAGGGCAGGAGACAACCCACCAAGCCCGAAGTTTCCTCACGTCCCGCAGAGGCGCCCACCCTCCCTCGCCCACTCCCACTCCCCAAGCAACCCCTGATCTACTTTCTGTCATTATAGATTAATTGCATTTTCTAGAGTTTTTGATAAGTGGAATTTTACAGTATGAAATCTTTTTTGTCTGCATTCTTTTAACTCAGAGGAATTATGCTAAGATTCACCCATGTCATTATAGCGTGGTATCACTAGTTCATCCCTTTTCACATTCCATTGCATGAATACGCCACGGCTCATTTACCACTTACCTGTGAGTGGACATGTGAGTCGTGCCCACTTCAGACTATTATGAGTAAAGCTGCTGTAGACATTCATGTGTGTCTTTGTGTGGACAGGATGCTTTTATTTATCTTGGGCAAATACCTAGCAATGGAATGATTATATCATATGGCAGATGTGTTATATTTATATAAATAAAATTATATGCAATTATGTGTAATTCTACTATACAATTATGTATAATTTGTATATATAAAATTATGATAAAAGCACACAGTATAAATTTACCATCTTAACCATTTCTAAGTACACCGTTCAGTAGTGTTCAGCACATTTACATTGTTGTAAATTCCAGAACTTTCCAGCTTGCAGACCTGAACTCTGTCCCCGCTGGCCAGCGACTCCCCCTCCCCTACCCTAGTCCCTGGCAACTGCCCCTCTGCTTGCTACTTCCATGAGTTTGGCTGCCTTAGATACCTAGTAAAGCATACACAGTATTTGTAATGTTCTCCAGGTTCAAACATGCTGTAGCATGAGACAGGGCTTTCTTCATTTTTAAGGCTGGGTAATATTCCAACATGTGCACGTACAACATTTTCTTTGTCCACTTAGTCACCAGTAGACGTATGGCTTGCTTCCTCCTCTCGGCTGTTGTAGATGATGCTACAGTGGACATGGGTGTGCAAAGGTCTCTTGGAGATTCAATGTTTAATTCTTTGGGTGGTTTTATGAAAGCACCAAACTGTTTTCCAAAGTAATTGTATCATTTTACACTCTCACCAACAGTATATGAAAGTTCCAGTTTCCCCCAACTTTCACCAGCCCTCAGCAGGGCAGGCCTCTTTCATCTGAGCCTTCCTGGCGTGTGTGTAGTGACGTCTTACTGTGGTTTGGATGTGCCTTTCTTCACTGATGAGCGATGCTGAGCATCTCATTTGCGCGTTCACTGTCCAGGTAGCCTCCCCGGTAGAGTGTCTGTACCCCTCTTTTGCCTAGAGGAGTCTAGACCTTCAGTAAGCTTTATTTTTTAAAACAGTTTTAGATACACAGAAAAAGTATGAAAATAGTACATCCAGGTTTCCCCATTATTATGTTTCACACTTATTAGATGTTCTAGTTCATAGTATGGTACAAAACCCATAGTATTGTTTATAATTGATGAACCAATATTGACAAATTATTATCAACTCAATCTATACCCTATTCAAATTTTCTTAGTTTTTACCTAATGTTCTTTTTCTGATTCAGGATCTTACCCTGGATAGCACCTTACATTTAGTCGTCATGTCTCCCGGGTTCCTGGTATTTGTGACTCGACCAGGGTTTTTAGTCCTGGCCAGGTATTTTGTAGAGTGCCCTCAGCTGGGGTTTGTGGAATGTTTTTCCCGTGATTACACTGGGGTTGTGGGTCTGAGTAGGAAGACCACTGAGGCAAAGTGCCCCTCTCCTCACACTTTATCAAGGGTGCCTGCAACCCACAGGACGGACACATCGCTGGTGATGTTGACCTTGCTCACCTGGCTGCAGTGGCATTTGTCAGGTGCTCCACTGTGCAGTTACTCTTTCTCCTCTTTCCATTCTGTGCTTTTTGGAAGGAAGTCACTCCGCATAGTTTACAATGAAACAGTAAGGAATTAAACTTCGTTTCCTTAAGGTCAGGATGTCTGCATAAATTATTTAGACTTCTGCATGGAAGATTTGTCTCTTCTGCCCATTACTTATTCAATCATTTGTTTATATATGTGTGAACTCATGGACATGTATTTTATACTTCGGGTTATTTTTCAACTCTTTATTTTTTTACTCAAATTGTTCCAGCTTCGGCCATTAGGTGCTATTTCAGTTGACTCTTTTGCCCATTTTTTTAAGCTGAATTGTTTGTTTCGTTATTTAAGAGCTTTATGTTTTCTAGATAAATGCCCTTTGTCAGGAACATTGTTTGTAAATATTTTCTCTCAGTCTGTGATTTCTCTTACCAGCAACTTCCAAATCTACCCCAGCCTTACCTATCTTAGAAAGCTGGCCCCGGTCCCCTCGCTCTCCTGTCTCCCAACACAATCCCGGCCCCTCCCTCTTCTCACTCTGTGCGGCCCCCCAGGCAGCCTCATCCACAGCCACTCACAGCTTCCCTGCTGTCCGGGGCAGGGCTCCCCAGTGCAGGCATCTCTAACCCTCTCCTCTTCTCAGAGATCCAAACCCATACACACAACTGCCCCCTCGTCATCTCTCCTTGGGCCTCTCTGAGGCCCCCTAAACTCAGCATGTCCCGTAACAAGTTCATGACTTGTGCTCTCCCCACTCCCCACCCCCTCCCTCCCCTGGTCACAGTCGTAGCAGATGGCACCAACATCCATCGGTTGGGCCAGCCACCCACCTCCCACACCCCCAAATCAATCCACCACCAAGTCTCATTCATTTACCTCCTAAACAGAATCTCCCACTGATTTCTACCTTCTTCCAGGTACAAACCCAAACACCTGTCCACGGTACCCTGCCAGGTTTCCCCGGGTCCCCTATACCCTTGTCAGTGAGCCCCCACACAGCAGCCACAGTGACTTGTCAAAGCCCGAGAGTCAGGTCAGCACATCCCTGCCTAGCAGTCTCCGTGGCCTCCGTGAAAACCAAGCGTCCTCAGTGCGGCCTACGCGTCCCTGCGTGCCTGGTCCCTGGGCCCGCTCAGCCCCTTCTCCCGCCGCAGTGCCCCACACCGGCTCCAGCCACACTGCTTTTCCCGCCCTCGATGTCCCGGTGCTCCTTTGAAACTCGGCCTTCGTGTGTGCCGTTCCCTCCACCTGAAACAGTGCTCCCACCCCACGCCGACCATCCCCTGGGCCACTCGCCCTTCACATCTCAGCCTGGATGTCCCTCCCTCTGGGAAGCCTCCCGGTTAGGTCCTCCCTGCCTCCCTTTCTCCCAGTTCTGTGTTCTCCCTTGCCCAACCCTAGTCTTGATTAAAACTTGAGTTTATGTGAGAGGTCAGGGCCCGCCCCAGCACTGAGCTGTAAGCTCAGGACCAGTCCTACCTGTCTTTGTCTCCTGCGCCTCCTAGTGCCTGGGAGAATATAGGTGTTCAATAGATATTCACTGAATAACTGAATTAATCCACAATCAAGTAGTCAGTGTAAATTCAAGTAAGTAAAGAAGGCCATTGATGAGAACTAATTCTATTTATAAAAATAATTTGGAAAAAACTTTTTGCGAACACCATGCTGATGTTGGAGGTTAGTACTGCCACCTGTGACCTCACGCTCTTAATTTTTTCAGATGCCGCTTACCTTAATTCTCCCTCCAAGAGGGTGATTTTCCCCCGAGTGGAAGTGTACTGCCAGATAGAACTCGCCCTTGGCAATGACTGTCCCGAACGCAGTAAACCGAGCTGCCAATCCGAGCAGGCCAGTCCAGAAGAACCCATACAACTTCACACTCAACAGGCTCCCAAAGGGGAAGGAAGCGGTGGCCACAGTCCACCTGTGTCCCCACCTGAGCAGACACCTGAATCCACACATGAGTGGCCTGTGGAGTCGCCTGTGTCACCACCCGTCTCTTCATTTGAGCAGTCACCTGCACCACCACTGGCCTCCTCATCCTCACATTCTCCAGCTGACTCGCTCCCTGTGTTGCTTCCAGCTGTGCCCTCACCACCCAGCTCAGTACCGGGTCTACCACCCGTGTCGCCACAGCGGCAGGCACGACCCACCTGGTCACCGCCCAGATCCCCACCCTCCCAGTCGTCTACGTCACTCAGGCCACGTGTGGGGCCTTCAGGGATGGGGACACCTCAAACGTTGCCTCCATGTTCTTCCGCATCACCTGCACAGCCACCTGTGGAGGACCTGGGCTCAGAACAGCCCCAAGGTATGGACCCCCTGGCTTCTGCATGGCCGGAGCCCCTTGGCAAGCGTATGAGAACTTGGTGGCTGATAACCATTGCTTCAGAGGGCTGCGCTGGTGGAGTCAGGCTTAGCTGCAGAGGCTCTCCCTGGAAGGATGACAGGCCACCACAGGGGCAGTGCACTTGACCTTTGTTCCTTTCTTTAGCCCAGTGATTCTCCAAGTGTGGTTTCCAACCAGCAGCAATGTGTCACTTGAGAGCTCATTAGAAACGAGAATGTTCAGGCCCTACCGCAGACTCTGGAAGTGGGGGGACCCAGCTGTCTTTTTTACATGCCCTTGGGGCGATCCTTTTGCCTGCTTGTGTTTGAGAAACGCTGTTCTGGTAAATTTTTGCTGTGGCAGCCGCTGTGCCAAGGCAGCGCCACTCAGCGTGTGGCCGGGGAGCGCTGCCAGCCCCTGACTATCTGCTGCTAGTTCACGACGAAATGAGTGCAGGGCCGAGAGCGAGCAGTTAGAAATGTTTATAGCAATAAGATGCTGCCATGGCGTCGAAGAATTGACCTAATTCATTTGATTGTACTTTTCAAAAGTGCTGGTCTCTTATACATTGCGAATAAGGGTTCGCAGAAGCAGGTCCTTTGCAGGGGATGGTCTGAGAAGCACCGTTCTAGGGGCTGCAGAGGCGGGCTGTTCTCAGGTCCTTGCTCTCAGCTCTCAGGAAATCTCCCCTTTGTAGGGAGTGACGTGAATACCGACCTCTAAAATACAAGATAAATTATTAAGTTCTGTATTACCAACAAAAACGTGCTGGGGGTATTCACGGAGAATGAGGTCACTTCCCTCTGGGGGGTAAGGAAGGCTCCTGGAGACGGCAGGTGAGTTGAAATGGACAGGATATTGACAACCGTGGTCTGTGGGGTGGGGCTGGACAGACTGAAAAGAGCATTTCAAATTTTGTTTATTCTAGAAGCTCAGGCACAAAGAAGGAAAGTGCAAGGTGCATTCGGGATGAAGAGGATACCTGTTTGGCCACCGTGGACGGCCAGGGTGGGGCAAAGGGGGAGGGAATGAACCAGGCTGTAGAGTCCTTACGGTGCGTCAGCAAACTTCCACAGATGAGCAAGCTTTCCTTCTTTTCAGACCTACCCCAAGTCACAGGGGACCCTTTCTCTGGAGTAGGTTTACTTTGATTCTTTTCATCGCAATGAGACAAAAATACAAGGGCATTAAGAGACAGAAAATTGGTCAAAGTGTTTCGTATGCTCTTTTATTTCCTGTTAAATAAAATGAGTTTATTTTATGTTATCACACCTGTACCTAAAGGTAGCCAGCCACCTTCAGGGGTCTGAGCAATCCTGGGCCCTGAGTCAGCATTCCTCCCTCATACCTCATTCCGGGGTGGACAGAGGGTACGGAGAGCCCAGCCGGGGGCGATTTTACCCCCAGGAGACATCAGGCAGTACCTGGAGGCCAGAGATGCTGCTGAACTTCCTACAGTGCACAGGACAGACCATAACAAAGAACTCTGGCCCCTGAGGGCAGTAGTGCTGAGCGTGAGGAACCCAGTTAGAGCCTGCAGCAGCGGGGCCTCTGCTGTGCCCTAAGGCAGCCGTGGGAGCTGGGCAGAGAGGGCCAGTGTGGCCAGTCACGTAGGGACGGCCACGCTGTTGGGGTGGGGTGCTGCAAAAGGCCCTAGGAAAACCGTAAACGAAGGGACTGCAAATCGAGTTGAGATATCCACCAGGCCTCCAAATGAAAGAGCTTCAGGTAGGAGTCCATGTTATTTTTATATATGTGTATTATATTATTATATAGTAATCTTCATGTATTATATTTCCCTGTACTCAGAAAATAGGCAAAGGGATTATGTAAGAACACTGGTCATAAAACTATTAATATTTTTTATTCCGACAACAACAACCAGAAAATGCATTCCATGAAGCAGGTGAAGGGTCAGCCCCTGGGGGGTTTTTCCTGAAAACGCTCCCTAGCTCGGCGGTGTTTTGTGAGGGGATCTGCGATGATGTAGCGTGAAGGTCAGCACCGGCCCTCCGCGGAGGCCGCTGCATTGTTGTCGAACCCAACAATATGATTTTGGTCCTAAACATGCAAATTTGAGAATGAGAGTGTTCTTTGCTCTTTCGGAACACTCTCGATTACTGCCTATTGTTCTGTCAAAAGTGGCTGAGTACCCCTGCCCCATGTCATCTCACTCCAGTCCCCCACATTTTTATTTACTTTTTGTTGTAGTTCCTCTTGCTTCTTTGAGTCCCCAGAGTGCGGGGCCCCTGGCCAGTGTGAAGGAATCCACCAGCAAGCCGGATGCCTCGTAAGTTTCCCCTTCACTGAGAATGCATTCTTTCCTTTGATGGGGGTGGGGCAGCTAAGTGACATTTTCCGTCCTGTCAGCTCCTTAGGAACATTGGGGTCCTTTTCTAGTCTGTGTGATTGCGGACTACCATCCCTCTCCTGTCCTTCTTGGTGGGGACAGTGTGTGAGAAATGGGCCTGTTCGTGCTGACGATGTCATTCTCTTTAGTTTCCTGCTGTGGTACACTGGGGACGCATCTTCTCTGAGCGCAGTGGGACACTCCCGTGACATCTCAGTTCAAGAGAGCAAGCAGGCTTCTGTGTCCCGGCCCTGGATAGCCACTGCATGCTATGAACTGAGGGCCCCCCTTAATCCAAAAGATTTTTTATTGGCATAATTAGGAGGCTAATATTCCTGTGTTGTAGATTGTCCCCAGAAAAATTGTACTTACAATGCACATCAATCATCTGGGTTGTGTAACATGCTCCACGATTATCTCTGCCGCCATTAGGAGTGGGCCTGAGCATCTCTATACTTTTGAGTTCCCAGTCTCCCTTTCTGGCTGGACACCAGTTGGGTTAGTCAGTGGGAGGCCAAGAGGAGGTCCTGGGGTGGGTCAAGGGCATTTCTGCCCCGGACCTCATGCCTGCCTGCCCGGGCCGCTCTGGCAGTGGCTGGGTTCCTCTGTGGCCACAGCGAGACTGCTGGGGAGAGCAGAGTTTGCTACTTTCGAGGTTCCCACCCCATAGCATGTCCTATCAAATACATTGAAATGTATCTGATTCTTTCACTTAGTATAATTTTAATTATAAAACTTTCTGTAAGAGTTTGCATATAGTTAAGAATTTTGTGCTTGGGCATAAATTATGCTTTTTGTTCACATGATTTAAACTATTGCCTTGACAAACAACTATGTAAAAGTTTGAATTTCTATTGGCCAGTTAGCACGATGTTACTCAGATAAATATTCACTGATTATGAAATAAAGGTCACGGGGCACTCTGATGCTCCCGGGACTGCGAAGCACAGCACGGGAGTGTGTGATACCTTCTGAGCTGGAGCAGGGCCCTGAGAGTGGAGGACGCAGGACGGGCGTTGACACCCCACTCCCTCCCTCTCTCTGCCCAGGGCGAGCCCTGCTGCGGGCCCCCGCTGGACCTGGGAGGTATTCAAGAGGAACAGACCAAAGGCCAGTGGCCCCGTGAAAAGGCTTCCCAAGACAACCATGATCCAAAAAACCAGGCAGCAAAGTGCAGTGAGTATGACTAATGTTTCTTAAACCCCACAGGCAGGAGCAGCTTTGGGAGTGGTCTGCAGGAAGATTACAAGGGACGGGGGGTCAAATGTGAGGGCTAGGAGCTGGGCTTTCGGGTAGGATGCACCCAAAATGAAATCTGTGATCTGCCACCGTCTCACTCAGCGTGCTTAGGATACGTGGCCTTGCTGAGCCTCTATTTCTCGATCAGTAAAATAGAGATAATACCAACTCATTAAGCTGTTGTGAGTGTTTGGTACAGTCAACTGTGTACATTGCTTTGCAGAGAGCAAGATGTATAACAGCACTCAATAATTAGTAGATACCACAGGTCTATAACTCCCAGAGGTTGACTAGCTACCTCTCAGCTTCTGAAGAGAACTGTACTAGAGAACCAAACTAGAGAGGTTGGTGCCCACATGACCCTCAACATGTCAAGCTCCTAACTGTTCCCACCCTCCAACTAAAAGCCCTAATCAATGTAGGCCAGCTTCTCACAGCTTTTTGACTGTATTATATTGTCATTGATTTACTCAATCGACATTTATTACCTAGTGAGTGCCAAGCACTCTCCTGGGCTCTGGGGAAATCAAAGATGAATTAAACTCGATCCCCAACTCTTAAGAGTTTATCTTGAACTTTGAACTTCAGACCAAAGGCCAGAATAAAACCTACTAATTTGGTGAACTAGGAGCTCCATATAAACCAAGCCTCAATTTTTTTTCTTTTTCTTTTACTGAACCATAACATTGTTAAAGGCACATACCTACATACATACGTACCCGCAAACTCAAAATGCCAGCCTCAAACACAAACCAAGCCGGGTGTCATCTATAATTATTTTCCTGGATTATCAAAGTATTCTTCTAAAGGGACAGAACTACATTGCTATTTAGTTTGCTTCAAGGCTTTATCGTTCAGAAAAATCCCCAATCCTTCTAAGGGACATCCTTCCAGGTTGTTCCTGTGCTGGGTGGGGGTCCCTGGGTGGGTGGGGGAGTGTTAGGTGGACGAGGTCGGAGGCTTGCCCGGGGAAGGTGGGTGCTTTGCAGGTCGGGGGAAGCAGTGCAGTGGGGAGGAGATTCTCAGAGCTGCTACAGGAAGGAGGGCAGACCCACAGGGCACTTTCTGGATTAATGGTTGGGCAGGGAGCATGCTGGTCCAGCAGACAGTCGGGGGTCCCTGGTGGTCACTGTGTCGGTGCAGTCTGGGATTATTCTCATTCTGTTCCTTGGTGTCCATGTCCAAGACCTCCGTGACCTTTGGGTGTCATATCTCTGACCCTAGGTTGTAAGAATGCAGGCTGGTCTACGGTGGGTGTGGGGAAGCCTTCCTGGCTGGGAGCCATCTGGGAGCCAGCTCCCGACTCAGGTGCCCTGATTCCTGGGCCAGCCTCTTCCCACACATCAGGGCAGTGGGAACTATGCAGTTCAACCAGAGCTATTATGGTTGGCAAACTTCTAGGAATCAAGGTGCTTTATAAAAAGCAGACAATGATGAAAACAAATAAAACAGCACTCACAAGCTGTGAGAGACACCGTAGTCAGTGGGTCACATATGCTGTGTCCATTGATTTATAGCACAGGCTGCGAAGCTGCCTGGAGGCGACCCACCGTGGATGATCTTAAGCAACTCTGTACAGATTCACCGCTCTGAGCGTCAAAGACCAGGGTAGGGCGCAGAAAAGAGAAGCTCAAAAATGTTAGACATAGAGAAGGAGGAGTGAATTGCTCATTTCTTCCCAAAATGCAATCTCAGGGACACGGCCACGTCCGTGGGCTAGTCCTGCGTAAACTGCTGGTCCCCAGCTGATATCCCTCACAACAAAGACAAGAGAGGCTGGAATGAGAGCTACAGTGTAGGCGTTCCATACGTTAATGTGTGTGTGAGTGTGTGTGCATGGGCACACACTTTAAATCAGACCTTCAGATTTATACTCTGATGTTGTATTAGTTGGTTATTGCTGCTATGATAATGCTGCACAACAACCGACCTCCCTGCACCCCAGATCTGAGTGCCTTACAAAACAAAACTTTTCTGTTTCTGGCCTATGAGATGCAGGGGGTAGCTCTACTTAGGCAACAGGCTGGGGTCAAGTCCGCTCTCTGGCCCTTTCCTGCCCAGACCAGCAGTTACGCCAGAACTGCCCTTCTCCAGAGCATGGCTACACACATGTGTCAGCATAGTTTTCTCTGTAGGAGGCCAGCCCGTCTGTCCTCCCACAGAGTTCAGTGTTTCCATCTCACTCGGGTGGCCTCAAAGTTGAAAGAGGAGAAATTGAGAGACTGCCTGCAGGCTACGACGGCAAGTGGAGGAAGTCCATCTTGCTGATTGCTACTCAGATCCTCCTAATTGTCAGCCTTTTAAAATATCCACCACTTAGAGCCTCTCCTCTGAGTTACTGTGCAATTTCTAACTATTCAAATGTGAATATAACAACAGCTAAAATGTCTGTAGTATTTACTGCGTCCTAAGCACTGTGGCACAGAGAGGTTAAGTAACATGCTCAAAGTCACACAGTGGGTAGGTGGCGGAGCTAGGATCTGAATCCAGGGGCCTGTCACCAGCATCTGTATGTTGACCACAAAGTGATATAACAACCCAGATTAGCCACCCAGAGCTGGAGTGAGAGTTGGAAGTCACAGGGTCTAGGCAAAGGCCTGGAGTTGCACTGGGAGGTGCACAGGGAGACCTGGCAGGCAGGCCAGGCTGCCGTGCCAAGGAGGCTGGACTTTACCTGTGGTGCTGGGCAGTCGTCATGGGGTGTAAACAACAGAACAACACAGTCAGATTTGAAAATTATCCAGTAATGTGCAAATTACATGCCAGCATTTCTCCAAGATGGGTTCAGCAGGTGTCTTCCTGCAGCTTCCCAGAGAGGGCAAGTGACTTGCCCAGCATCACACAGCAGGGGGAAGAAGGTTTGGAATTCAGGTCTTCCCTTCCCCAGGTTTCGTCTCCTTTCTCCTCACACTTCCCCCATCCAGGTCTGCTCCCTGCCCACTCAACTATTCTGTGCTCTCCACTTCCAAGACTGTTTGGGTCACCGCCGGGCCTCATCCCAGCAGGATCCAGGAATGCAGTTGCCCTGAGGTGTGGACCACCCTGGGTGTGCCTGGAGGCTGGGCACTGCCTGCCTTGTCCCTAGTTGCTGGGGCGACCCTTGAACACCATCAACCCAGTGTCCCTTCTGCCCCCAACCTGCCTCCTCCTGGTCACAGTCAAGGCCAACACTAGTTCATAATGCCTTGTGCCCTAAGAAAACAGCGTGCCTTCCTTGAGAACTTGACTGCCAGCTGCTGGAAGGTTGTTCTAATACACTGATTTCGTTAAAGCAATAGACTACTAATTGCTAGAAATCTGTGTGAATGATATACAAAGCTACAAAATTGTGAAAATAATATATAGAAAGCAATACAAATGACATACAACATAAATATGTCCACAGAGTGCCCGCCCCTTGTGTTGGCGGTGTGACATTGCAAAACTGTGCTCAGCACCCTGGGGCCACTCCGCCTCTTCTCCTTCTGGAAAACCCAAATATTAACTGGACTGTGTAAAGCCAGTAATGTGTCAAACTCTCTTTGTCAGCCCCTGCTGTGCAAATGGGATTCTCCATTTGCAAAAGACCCTTCTAACTGGCTTTTGGTGTGAAAGGGAAGCTCCAATTTGTACGCATCAGGTTGGCTATAGCGGGGCCTGGCTCCTTGCTTGGACTGCCCAGGGGTTATGAATCTGTGAGGAACATTCTGGGTTGGAGACCAGGGGGAGGAAGTCCCAGATGAGGGACTTAGACATGACGAATCTGTGTCTTCCCCCAGGACGCTGTGAGCTGAGAGAGAAAACTTGAGCTGGAGCAGGAGAGAACCTGACGGCCCCAATGCTGAGGCTTCGCCCCTCTGTTCTCAGATGCTGACCGCTCACCTTGGCCTTTTGGGGGCCAGAACAACATCTACTATCAAGCCTGTTGGTGCAGGGGGTCCTGCTTCTCCTGGGAGACCAACTTCTTGTCTGAACATCCTCTTAGCTTCCCTGTGGGCCTTCCAACCCTTCCACTACCCTGCTCTAGACGGACAGACAAGGACAGACATGCATGTGGACTGGAACTGAAGAGCACTCCTGGCTGGCGGGGCTCAGCGCCTCCCTCCCAAGCCCTGCCTGAGTTTGCTTCTTTGAGATGGGCCAGATCAGCCCTAGCCTACAAGTTCTATCTGGCCCGCAGAGTGCAACCCTGGGGGTCAGGCAGGCCTGAGCCACGGGCATTTTCCTGTGGTGTCAAAAAACAGGTTCTTTTGTTTTGTTTTAATTGACACAGCATACTAAGAGCTCAACTTGGAACTCCTGGACTCTGCCTCGGCCACTTGCTGGAATCCCCTGATGGCACTGAGCTGGCGTCAGCCTTCCAAGCTCCCCGGGGACTGTCTGGTGCAGCCGTGTCCAGCTGGCGGCCCTGGACCTTCCTTGAGTTCTGGTGTGGTGCTAGAGGAAACTGAGGGGTCAGACACCTCTGCCCCTCCTGTCCCCGAGCCCGAATGAGGGCAGACTCTGCTGTTCACAACAAAGTGAATATGTTCCACGATAAAGACACCTTCGGCCTCAGTTTTTCCAGCCTGTTGAGAAAAAAATTACTCCCTCTGCTCCCCAGAGTGCACACAACCTCCTGCCCCAGCCAGGCCCAGTATGGGAGCCCAGGCTGTCCCCAGGCCTCAGACGCATTTGCCTAACAAATCCTGGAACACACATCCGAGGGGGCTGGGTGGGAGACAGCCTGGAACTGGGCTGGGGCACCTGGGAGGACTCTTGCAAACTTAGCCGTGGAGGGTGGGGCCGTTAGGGCCAGGAGCCTTAGGGGAGCCTACTTTTATCAAGCAGAGTCAAGGCTCTGGCGTCCTTGGACCCCCTGCCCACTCTGATTCTGTGGTCCAGACCGGTGAAGGGAAGCACCCCAGTTCTGTGGAGTGACCTGCCTGGCCACAGGCCTTTACTCCAGGAGTGGCCTCGCCTTTGGCAGGTGGCCTTGTGCCCAGAGACCTGAGACACAGGAACCAGGGGAGGGAGCGGAACAGTGCCGCACGGCTCAGAAATGCGCGCGGCTTGGCGTGCAAGGGAGGAGCAAACGTGGCGCTAGCCGCTCTTGTGCCCGAAGCCGCCCTCGTGTTGGTTCTAAGTATCAGTAGAGCCCTGGGATGTTTTCCTTCATTTTGCTGAATTTCCTATTTCCCCACTTTGAGGTGATCAAGAGAATTGTTCTTGCGTTAGTTCCAGGGTTGCCAGGTGAAATACCAGAAGCTTTAAGTTTGAATTTCAGATAAACAGTGAATAGTTATTTAGTATAACTATGTCTCCAGTACTACAGCTATTTTTTGTGTGTATCTGAAATTCAAATGAACTGGGCCCCCATATTTTTATTTGCTAAATTTGGCAACCCCTAATTAGTTTCTTTCTCCTTTTTATGCTTAAAAAAAAAACCACTAATGGATTGTTTTTGTTTGGGTTTTTTAAATATTTATTTATTTATTTATTTAGAGAGGGAGAAGGGAGAGAGAAAGAGAGAAACATCACGTGAGACCGGACCCACAACCCAGGCGTGTGCCCTGACAGGGAATCGAACCAGTGACCTTTTGGTTCACAGGCCAGCACTCAACCATCTGAGCCACGCCAGCCAGAGCTCTTGGGTTGTTTTTTTGATGCCATAGTCACCATGCTTTGAAACTGGGATGTCTCACTGGTGCCAAGGCCAAGGCCAGACACTCTCTGGTTTCCCGACAAGCATAACTGAATGACAGCTGTGGTGCTGCTCGCGCTGCGACCCTGCTAACACCCCGCACTCGACCAGCTCCCGGCTGCCCCATTGTCTCTGACTCACCCACTGTGCCTCCTGACCTCTCAGGCTGAGAAATTAGGTTAATTATGTCTTGATGTTACTTGCCGACCTTTTAAGAGCCGTTCAAAGCAGCCAGGTCTGCCACGCACCCCAGGGTTCTGGGAAGCCTCCGTGGTGGGACTTGAAGGATGCCCACTCCCACGTGGTGTCCACTACCCTGTACTCCCACTGACACGAAATTCCCACAGCCAGTGAGGTCCGTCAGCATCCTGCAGGTGGGGTTGTGTCCTTTACATCAGACCCCGCACATGGTACGTGCTCAATAAATCCTGGCTGAATAAATGAACTCATGGACTGTTCTGTCTGTAGCTGACCGTGTGGCCTTGAAGGAGGCTCCCCGCAGGCTGAGCCGTAGCCTCCTCATCTGGGAGATGAGGGTGGTAACACTGCCCCCTGCTGTCCTCAGAGCATCATGGTGAGCCCTCAAGGCTTGGGGAATGGGAATGTGGTTTGAAAAGCAGTCGGGCCGCCACCCCAAAAGGCCGCCTTACCCTGAAAGCCCCTGGAAGAACTCACATGCTATCTGAGGGAGGGCAAGGAGGCCTTTAGTGCATTTCAGTGGAGACCACATTTTCCAGACCCCGAACTAGGCACTATATTCTGTCAATTCTATCCCTCTGTTCTGAGGGATAGAATTTAGGGACTAATAAAACAGATGATAGCGAATCAGGGCTGGCCCATGTTTGCCTGGAAATATAATTAATTGTCACCTTAAGAGTCACCTTAAGAATGAGAGATCTGGAGGGCAAGTATCTTACCCCCAAAGTCATCAGCCAACGGGCGGCGTTAGCCCGGGGAGCACTTATTTTTCACTGGCTCAGCAAGGCGACTCCCCAAGGATGGGGTGCCAGGAAAGCACCCAGAGAGGGTCCCCAGGCGGGGACCAGGAGGCACCTGACAGGCCCAGATGTGGCCGGTGGGCCCCGTCTTGTCCCATTGCGAATAATCCAGGTGAGACCTCTGGGCAAGTCAGTTTCTTTATTTGTGCAAACAACACAGTCCAAACATGAGAGAGAGATGTCAGCCCTGGGAACTCATACCGAACACACGGATCAAAGACCATCATTTCACCAGAGAAACTACATACAGAAGGTTCCTGACCCGCATTTAAAACTGACTCCTATCCTTCACATTCTGGCGCTGTAGCCCTAAACACCGCCTAAAATAAATCCATAAATAGCGCGCCTCTCTCACACTTCTTAGAAGCAACAACACTAAGTGACTTTCAGAATATGCTTAGTTGAAAATCCTGAACTTTGCCTCAGGTTTGAGGTCAGTCCCATCTAAGCACCAAGGCCTGGATTGGTTCCCGGCCCCACAGTGGTCGCCACAGGTTCCACACCCAACACCACGTCCTTCCAGGGTGACAGGACTGAGTTTGCCGTCCAGGTGTTAACTCCCTCTCCCCCATGGCCACGTGCTCCAGGCAGTGTCATGCACGGGGGTAACAGGCACGTGGGAAACACGTGCACTGGAGTCCAGCTCCTGAAACTGTTCAGTGGTAGAAGGCGGAGCCCCCAACAGCCCACACCTCACCTTTGGACAAAAACAAAAAGGAGGCCCTTTCTCAAGACCACTGGCACCGGCTGGAAAACTGTCGCCATAAATCTACAAATCCACAACGTCTAGGAAGAGAACAGCACGTCCTGGGCCGTGGTGCTCTTGAGCGGAGCACGCCGTGCGACCATCCGTGGTCGTCCAGCTCGAAGCCCTCCCCGGTTCCCTGAAAACTACCGGACTGGGCCTGTAATACAAATGACACACGTGGACATGGGGCTACGTAGTTTTCAGACCCTTCACATTCATGTTCTCACTGACTCTTGGCAAACCCCCACAAGATGCGAGAGCTGAAAGGCACCAGCTTCATTTCCCTGGTGATGGAATTACAGGACACGGGTTCGGGAGGTTTCTGAGACCAGAGATCCCCAATCCACAGGTCCTCCCTATAGCTGGGCCTGCAGAGCTCCTGGGGGGATCTACAAATCCTATGGGCAGTAAGCACTGTGAGCTGAATAAGTTGTGTGTTGCCTATGGACGCACACTTTTTTAAACGCATCCGGATGTTCTGATGAGAGATTAAACAAAAACGTACTTTTAAAACTAAAGACTCGTTAAAACCAACATTTGAAAACATGTCAGCAAGTCTTCTATATGATAGTGGCATGTTTTTAGTTCAGTGAATCAAGCAATAGAGACATAAGATTAAGGGTTTAGTAACTCTTAAATAAAAGTAAAAACCTGAGGGCGCGTTAAGTCGGCACTGGGGTTGTCAGAAGAACGCAGGGCCTTCGGGTCCTGGCCTGACTCTCCAGACCATGCTTGTCAAGGCAGCGGCCCTCTTTCCTCCCGCCCCACAGTTTAGGGACGGAATCACTGGCTGTGCAACTCCAGCTGAGGAGCAAGGCCTCCAGTGAACATCGAACACACTGCCCAGATCTTAGGAGTTCTCCACCATTTCACTCATTCATTCATTGGGTGAGTGCCTCCAGCTCAGTGGGGAGGGTATATTTAGTCACAGAGTAAAACACTCACTACCCTATTTAGATAGATTTTAGCAATATAGAACCAGAAGGCATATGATGGGTCACCTCGTCCAGCCCAGAGCCCAAGGTCTGGAGAGGACAGGGGCACACAAGGCCTTGTAGCAAGTTTGAAGCAGGTCAGCAGTTGGATGCTCGAGTCTCCTAACTCCCAGTCCAGTGCTTATTTCTCCCGGCACGGTCTCTGCCTCTGGTCCTCAGGAAGAATGCTTTGTGCATCCTCAGTCTCAATAAGCCCGTGACGACATGAGGATGCAGAATGGTCGTCGACTCTTGTCTGCAGTCATTTCCGAGAAGCCCTGAATCAGGACAACTATGAAGCATCCTCAGGGTGTCCTGGCTAAAGCCACCAGTTGTTTGGATTGTTCAAGAGCATGCTTGAGTGTGAAGCACAGCTTTCAATCTGGACTTTGGGCCTCAGGGCTTGTGATGTTCTGGGAAGAGAAAAAGAATAGAAGTTTTAGCCAGAGCCCGATTATTTGTAAGTTCCACTCTGGTAACAATGGACTTCGCAGTAACCCATCAACACAGCATACCAGTTCCCCCTCTGGGTCTTTGCTCACACAGCACCTTCTGCCTGACATGTCCTTTCCCTACATCTACAGCTTCTCCATCCTCAGAATCAATGCCTGCCACCTCCTGGAAGTCTCCCAGAACCAATTTGATTTATTGGCCTCCATTAACACTAATTGGGCATTTAATTGATATTAAATTTTGTCATCAGTAAACATTCCGTCTTCTCCACTGGCAGAACATTCCATAGACCCTCACAGAGCCTTGTGTACTGTCTACAGGTCGAATGAATGAATGGATGAATGAATGAAACCAGAGGATGGGGTCAGGGCTATTGAGGGTGTCAGAACTCATGTTTCCATGACGTCTCTCCCAAAGAGCTCAGATTGTTCCATAAGCTATTACCTAATCCATCTTAGGGGTCAAACTATCTATGATACACCCATTCTCCAGGAGAAGCAGTGAGGCTGAGAAAAGAGAGGTCTAAGGTCACAAGGAGTTCTCAGCGGAAAACAAGCCAAAGCTGTGCACAGCACTGGAATAACAAGGTACAAGGGTCACAGAGAAAGACCAGCTTTCTTGTAAGGCTCAGCCCGTGGCATCTGAAGCTCATTCCCGGAGGGGAAGACAGCCTGTGAGTGGTGGGGACAGCACTCTGGTTTTCCAGGCTGCAGGAGTTCTGGGTCTGCGCGTCCCACACCAACAAACAGACATTTCTGTCCTTTAAAGTCTCGCACTTGCTCAGTAGCTTCTGCTCTGTAGAGCGGGGTCGGATGTTTGTAAGCAGGTTATCTTCAATGGATTTGAAAGGGGAAGGGAAAATTGTTCATCGGGGTCCTCCAGAAAACACGTGAAAACTCAGACTTTTGAAAAACAGTGATAAGTATTGTTTCTAAAGAGAACATCTCAGAGCCGTGGGCGAGGGAAAAGCATGAAAACAATCAGAAGAGAGTAATTGCAGAGGGGCAGCTACTGTTCATCCTCCCGCCAAAGTCAGGATGCGGCGCCTCCAGGAAGCCCTCCTAAAGCAAACAGCCCATGGGGCCTTCTCATCTACCTTCACCCCTTATTTGAATGTGATCTGACCTTGCTTTGCTATTTAAATTTTATGGCAATTGCAAGTTGGGAAGCCACACAGCAGAATCCATGAAATAACAAGATGGCCAGCTTAGCTAGCAGCCAGCCCAGCGTTCCGTGCTGATGTCAGAGAGCATGAAAACGCGCACGGTTAGACACCGGGGCCAGTAAGGAAAATGCAAGTAAGGCCAGTGAGGGTGTGGGGAAAGAAAACCGTCACCGTGGCGTAGGACGGTCCCAAAAGGCCTCAGCAAGCAGGTGGTCTTTGAGCTGGACCCCAGAAGCCCTGAACTGGGCCGGGCAGAGGGGACAGTAAGCAGATCCTGTCCTGACCACGACCGTGTCCTCGCTGACACCCTTGTGCCTCATCGCTGTTTCTTACCTGCTGGGCCTCCCAGTAGGGGGACTGGGGGTAGCGCAGGCCCATCAGGCTGAGGACATTGTGACAATTGTTGGCCAAGCCAAAGGCGAACTGGTAGGGCCTCTCAGCGTGGTTCCTGTCAGACTGCGGCGAGCGGACGCCCTGTCTACGCAGGGCGGTGGTCAGCTTTAGAAGGGACGAGTCCGGGAGCTGGTAAAAAAACCTCTTAAAGCTGGGGTGCCGCCTGATCTGGAAGCAGAAACGAAGGCAGGCCATCAGTGTTGCTGGCAGGTGGCCCCCCCCCCCGACCCACAGCCAGGCGGGGTGTGCCTCATTATCCCTGGGACGGGCTCCCGGGTTCAGTTTCTCCACCGCCCATAGCCCACAGCCGGTCAGCATCCGTGCTGCAAGGCCCAGCTGCAAATAGCAGGACAAAGTGGGGGGAAGTGCAGGTCTTTGGACCCAGACGACCATGTTTAAATCCCATCCACTCGCTGTGTGACCTCTCTGAGCCTCTGCTTGGTCATGTAGAGAGGGGAGGAATAACACCCCCCACCAACTGTTGTTGGGGGAGGGGATTAGGTGAGGTGGTTTATGTGAAATGTTTTGTCAGCATGCATGTGCATGAGTTTTAGTTCCCACCCTGAACCTCCTCTTCTTCATACTTAAATGTCAGGTTGGGCTCCCCATGAGGCCGACCCAGAGACGAGGTCTGGGGTGAGCTCCTACATGTTGAGAGTGACCCCGGGAAGCACTGGTGGGCAATGCAGACCCAGGAGGAGGGTGGGAAAGCAGCCATGACACAGGCCGGCGACTGCAGCCCCCCCCCGCGGGGAACTCCAGGAACCAGCTCCTCAGAGTTCTCCCCGCCCCGGGGCGAGGAGCCGGGGGCTGTGTGCACAAGCTCCTAGCAGCCATTGGTTGAGGGCTGCTCCTGGGGAGGGAGAGGGTGTCCATTCTAACCTTCGTGTGGTGGCCAAGTGGCTCTGGGGCCAGTGCTCAGGCAAACATGTGCAGGCTCCGGCCGTGGGAGGCGGGCTGAACACCGTCGGGCACCTACAGGTCCTCCGGCTGATCGCTGCGTCAGTGACCTGAGCTCACACCCCTTCATGTGTGACATGTGTTTGTTTCCCCACGTAGAGGGAAAACCTCCCCATGTGAGGTTTTGGGGGACAGGGAACTGTCTGTTGTAGGCTACCTTGCAGGGGAGGGAAATCTAAGAGCTTCAGAGAATTGGAGACCAAATAGATGCTGAAGGGCGTGCCAGGGCTGACCCCAACTCGAATCCCTCCAGACCCAGGGAGGAGGCTTCCCGGAGGAGGGTTTGGGTTGGGGGAGGTCCTGGCTGGCCTGGGAGCCACATGAGCTTCATATTATTTTAAACTAACGTTTATCTCACTGCAGTGTGTGTGGCATTTTCTATATATGCACTAAACTTTGTCAAGTAGGTATTTATCTCCGTTTTGCAAAAGAGGAAACTGAGGCTCAGACAGGTGAACGGACACGCCCAAGGTCAGCCAGATGCAGAAAATGGGGATTGAACACAGGTCTCAGTGGTGGGTTGATGAGGCCCCTGGGGTTGCCCTTGGGGGGACTAGGTAGTTCTTACCTGCTCCCCCAAATGGCCATCCACTTCTTGGAGAAGGGCCACCAGCTTCTGGATGATCAGCTCCTCTGAGGAAAGTGAAGAACGATTGAGAGACTGTTGACAAGTTCTGCAGTAACACATCTACGGGTTACAACTACTGTGTCTCTGAAACAGAGCACACGGATCCGTTGTGAAGGGCACAGAAAAATCTCCCCTCAACGAGAGCTGCAGCATGAGAGCTTCGTTTAGGTTTGCTTTATGGAAGCAGAAGGGACTTCGGGCTGTTGCGCTTCACCTGAAACCATTAGACAGATGGGAAAACTGAGACCTCCCAATGGCCCTTATCCAGGCTACCGAGTAGCACAGTCAGGAATGGGAGCTGGGACCAGGAGCAGCTGATCAGAATTCGGGAAGGGAACTCCATGGCTACCAGTGGAGCGGGAATGTGCCCAGCGGCCAGGGCTACGAGCAGCGCTCTGCAGGTGGTCGCTTGTACCAAGGGCTAAATATTGAGGAAAATTGTTAGCCCACTGTTATGAACTGGCAGCTTGAAATCGGCCCCAGTGAGGATGTTTATGCCACAGAAATCCCCAAAGGCTACAGATCGGGGCTTCCCTTCTTGGCGCAGCACCTCTAAAAACTTGTTTGCCAGTTTGCCACTGATTATGAGACCAGAGCAAGCGAGGGATTTAACGAAACATTCAAGCAAACCACAGGGGTAGGGTGGGGTGAAGTTATATCCCACCTAATAGACGGGTGTTCTCTACCTGAAAAAGGCTCCTCACTCCAGCCCTGTCCCAACAGCCCCAGTTGGCAGGCCAACCCTCTCTCCTCCCCGCCCTCAGAGTCTCCTGGATGTTCGTCAGCAGCCCTCCCAGGTCCCCGCTCAAGTGCGGCCTGTGAGAGAAGCATCAGTCAGTTGCCTCTCGAGCGCCTCCAATGGGGGAACTGGCCCGCAGCCAAGGCACATGCCCTGACTGGGGGTGAAATGAGTGACCCTTGGCTTTGTGGGACAATGCCCACCAGCCAGGGCCTCAGGTCTGGCCTGTGAACTCCACGGAGCACCGTCCCAGGGGACAGAGATGGTACTCACTAGATTCACACGCCCCGTCTGGCAGAGGTCTCCCTTCCAGCTTGTGGCTTCCGGCCTGGGAGGATGCTTCTGAGGAGCCAACTTGTCCCCCTTCTGCAGGCGAAGACTCCTGGTACTCAAGACCCTCCAGCTCTGAGGGCGAAAAGGAGCTGGTGTGAGTGTGTTGGCACCTGTCTCAAGTCCACAAGCACGTCACTGCGCCCAGGGTCTGACAAGCAGCCGTCCACGGGCACTGGCACGAGACAGGGGTCCTGGTTTCCAGGCTCCTGGGGGAGCCCCAGTTCCCTGGACCCACCTCAGAGGAGTTGACTGGACTCTATTTGCCCCTCCAGAAATCTCATTTTTCCTTCCACCAACCCCCTCTGCCTCCTCTCTGCCCAGGAGGAAGACAAGCAGGCCTGCCAACAGGTGAGTGCCCTTCCCTTTAACTCTGCGAGGCTCTGCCGATTCACTTAGCCTGTCGGAACCTCACCGTCTCCATCTGGTCGATGGGAGTAACAAGACTGGCCTCTCAGGTTTGCGAGCTGGTTAAATGAGATGATGTGTGACAGTGGCACGGAGTGGACGCTCCATAAACGTCATGGTGATCACTATAAACCAGTGGGCCTCGTGCTCGGGTGCAGTGAAGGACAACCCAGGGCATGTCCTCCTTCATCAAACCTGGCTCTGTGTTCTATTAGCTTCCCAGGCGATTCTGATGCACTCGTCTAATGTACAGACGCACTGTTCTCATACCACATTCGCTTCTAAATGTGTGTGCGGTGGAATGGGGGAGTGTGTTGTGAGCGGTGGGTCTGGGCAGCAGCCTACTCCTCTCCCCTCCCCACGGTCCTCTCACACCTCCCCACTCTGCTCAGAGCAGAGAGCAAAGTCAGGACTGAATGAGAGGCCACACAGTAGGCCAACCGCTGCCCTAGAGGAAGCCTGGGGTCAGAGGCAGCCTGTTACCATGACAACAGCAGGCCTACTCACCAAGGCTGCTGTCGATAGAGGGCTGATGGCCTCTGACACACAGGGGCAGATAGCTGGGCCTCTTGAGCAGCTGGGACTCCGGGCTGGTGGCACCTGCCGCTCCCCCTCTCTTGGGCTCCTTGGAGCCATGTTTCTTATGAGAAAAGACTTTTATGAAGCTGGACTTTCTCTCTTGGGACTTCTTCCTGTAGGGCGGGGTCAGGTGTTCCGCAGCCGCCTCTGGCTCCTGGACGTGAAGTTGCTGCAGGCCAGAGGAGAGAGATTGAGTTACCGCCCTTGACTTTGAGGAAATTGCAAGTGAGCTGGGGAAAGAAACCCACATCCCCTGAAACCAGAGAGACCCACTGTGGCCTAGAGGGTGTGGCCCAGAAAAAAAAGCCACTGATGCTCAGAGATGGGAAAAGGAGTGTCCGACAGCCTCAGGGAGGAGGGGGGTCAGTGTTGTAGACCACTCTGCCTGGTTTTAGGAATTGTATCTCTACCCCTTGTGGCTAAGGGTGAGGGACAACCTTTGGAATGCCAGCCACAGGAGACAAAGCTTGTCTCTGGTAGCAAACGCTGCCTCGGTTTCCTCTCCCTGCCCCCAAAGCTTGGTTGGAAGTCAATGACAGGTAAGACCCCTCAGAGGAGGGGCAACCTAAGCCAGACTCGATCACTTGGGAGGCCTTCATGGAAGGACTCAAGGGGGCTGCAATGAAGAGCAATAGACTCTCGTGCCCCAGCTTTAAGATAGCCCAAGTCCCCATGTTCTCTGGGAGAAGCGCTTCCTGGCTCTAATCCCCTTAAGCCTGAATACCTGATGGGGAGGGGTGCAGCTCCTTGCCTGGCCAGAGCGTGCCCTGGGGGAAAATCTGGCACCACAAAGACTTGCTGATAAACCTGTGAAATCTGCTCTTCTAAGAGTGCTTTCATTCATATAATAAGGGTCCGAGAGGAAATGAGTGTGTCTCCCAAAGTTTCTGCAACTCTGTTCCTGACAGACACTCACTCAGACTGAAGCCCTCAGATTTCTTTGAAATGTTATCTACTGTTGGATCCTTGCTGCCCTGTATTCCTGTGAATTACAACCCAATAAAAGCCCTGGAGCAGGGGGCTCGGGGCCTTTTTCTTTTCGGAGAAACTGGCTGCTGCTGTCCTTTGTCTCCCCTGAGAAACTGGCCACAGCCCACTTCTCCACCCTAAGCAGAACCCATCATGTCTCTGTCATATTCATTTTCGTCCATGGCACTCAGGGGGACTCACGAGAAAGTTGCTCCCACAGGTCAGGAGCAAGGTTCCAGCAAGACATAGGATTGGGGGAGACGTGGGGAAGTCATTACCCCGGGCAGTGGCCAGGGGGATCCACAGTGAGGGTCAGAGTTAGCGGGGAACATCCTCCTCACCTTCTCTCCCTCCTGTTCCTCCTCATCTTGGAGTAGTGCGATGATCTTCCGGATAAATTTTTCTAAAAAAGAACACAGTAGCTGCTTACACTCTAGTAAAAGAAAAACATTTCATTGGTCAGTCTTCATTTCCTAACGCCCTGGGTGGGTGATTCTCATGGGTCTCTAGAGTGCTAATGAGCTTGCATTTGTGGCCGTCTGGGACCTGACCCCCTGGGGACCCACCATTTCTCAGACCTGGCCTGAGGGCGGGCTGGTTTCACCGGGACACACTCCTTGTCCATTCCCAGTGAGGGCACAGAGGAGCCGCCCTCAGGTGTAAGGAATAGCACAGGGACCCTACTTGGTTCCCCTTCACATTTGTTGTGAAAAGCAAACAAGGCCAAATGGAGTTAGGGGAAAGCAGGTCTTTTTTTTTTTTAATTGATTTGAGAGAGAGAGAGAGAGACATCAATTTGTTGCTCCACTCATTTATGGATCAACTGGTTGATTCTTATGTGTGTTCTGACTGGGGGTCGGACCCACAGCCTTGGCATGTGGGGATGACGCTCTAACCAACTGAACCACCCAGCCAGGGTAGAAGCAGATCTTTAAGAGTGTCTTCAGACACGTGGAGCTGACAGCGAGTACGATTCTACGATGGGCTCCGCCAATGATAAAACAACAATGATGACGGCAGCTACCATTTGTTGAGCTTCTCTCCTACGGCCCCCACCTCATCCTATCCTCTCTACCTCTCCCGGGGCTCTGAGCAACCACAACGATAATAACAATAAGTGACAGCTAACATTTTATTAGCTGATAACAGGTACTGCTCTAAGCACTTTATCTGCATTCATTCATTTAGCTCCTCCAACAGAAGTCAGTACTGTTTGTATCCCCATTATACTGATGAGGAAACTGAGGCCAGAGATGAAGCAATGTGCCCAAGTAAACGTGGTTGGAAGAGGTCAGAGTCCAAATTCAAACTCAGGCCCTGAAGCACACTGTCTGCAGAGCTTGAGCTGGGGGCCAGTGCCTGTGGCTAATGTCGGCCCCACCAAGGAGGGCATTTCACGGGAGGCCAGACAGGGTGAGTAACAGCAGTCTGGCTCCGCACCTGGGCTCAGGGGCCCCACGCCACCTCCCCAGCCCACTGCACTCAGCGGGAGGTCAGGACGAGTCTCTGCCTCTTTCTGGTTGTTCCTCTTCTGCAAGTGGTGGGACGGGCTAAATGTTTTCCAAGGGGCCACTGGGAAAAAGGGAGGGGTACTGACGGCATTCCAAGGCTCTGTCCAGCTGCAAGTTCTCTCTGGGTGCCCGGCTTCCAGCTTGGGTGGAATGTTCGAAGGAATTTGGACCCCCACGATCTGTAGACAAGGCCTCTTGGACTTCAGGTTCTTCCAAGCCTGAGTAGCACAGTGAAATGGTGTGTTTTGTTAGTTCCAAGGCTGTTAGCTACGGCAGAGATGTTAGCGCAGCCGCCACCACCCACTCCGCGGCCGGGTCACGGTGGGGTGAGCCAGGGTGGACGTGAGCTGCTGGGCAGGGCCTTTCACTTCCACACCTGGCCTCCTGGGCTTCACTCCCTCGCCTCCCTCCGTGAACAGCCTCGCCCCTCCATCATCTTGGCTCATCCACTGGTTGGAGAGTAAACGCCACAGAATGAGTTAACACATCTGGCCAGAAGGCCCTGCATGACAGTTCACTCTTTGGTGTCAAATATCACCCCCTGTTTTTTAAAATGTAAGTTACCCTGTCCAGGATGACCTGCTAGGCTGTTCCTCCCTGACCATCTTTTCTCCCAGGCCCTCCTTTCTCCCTGGTCTCTGGCTCCATCACTGATAGACCGTGACCTTGAACACATTGTTTTACCTCCCTTAAGTGTCGGTTCCCTGATCTGTAACATGGGGATACTAAAATGGCTGAGGGCAAGTCCTGTGTTACAGGCCAGGAGACGGAGGCACAGAGACGGAGGATGACACAGAAAGTACAGCTCGGAGCCCAGGTCTCCTGCCTCGCAGTCCCCACTTTCTTCCCGCCTGGGCTCCGCACCGCAGAGAGACGAGGACAATGGGGGTCCTTAAACACAATTGTCATGGGCTTTCGCGAACTTGTCAAGGCAGTGAGGTTCCGTGTGGCCTGCTGGCATCTCCTTCTCCTCCCCAGGGCCCCCCCCCCCCCCCCCCACTGCTCAAGGAAGAGCAAAGGGTCAATTGGCCCTGCTGCTCTTCCAGTGGCTGGTTCCAGCCCTGGGGAAGCTTCCAGAGCTGGAGGCAGCTGCAGTGTTGCTATGGTAACGGTAAGCCTGCTCACCAAGGCTGCTGGAGATGGAAGGCCGATGGCCCCCAACACACAGGTACAGAAAGCTGGGCCTCTTGGACGGCCGGGACTCCGGGCTGGAAACATCTGTGGCCCCCGCTCTCTTGGGCTCCTCAGAGCTATGTTTCTTGTGAGAAAAGCTTTTCTTGAGGTTAAACTTCTCCTGGGATTTCTTCCTGACGGGTGGTGCTGGGTTTTGTGGAGCCGCCTCTGGCTGAAAGGCTAGAAGTTGCTGTGGGGAGATGAGAGGAACTGAGTGCAGCCCCTGACCTTGAGGAGAGAGGAAAGCTCCCTGAGAAGCAACTCGAGACCCCAGGCAAAGGAGGCGACAGAGCCCTCAGCAGGGCAGCTGGGAGGCCTGGAAGGACCCACAGGCTTGAGCAGGAGGAGGAGGGGCAGAGGGAGAAGGAGGGTGGGTGGAGGAGGAGGCAGCAGGCCCCTGGGAATCTTCCAGGCAGTTGGCTCCTCACCTCTTTCTCCCACCGGTCTCCCACTTCTCGGAGCATCTGCACTATCATCTGGATGATAATTTCCTCTGGAAGAAAGTGAATGTACCAGTTAATCTTTCTAGATGCACAGAGAATGCTTTCTAACCGCTCTCTCGGACTTCTGAGACCAACTGGGCCCTTCTGTGTTAAATGAGGGTCCTCCTAAAAGAAGCTCTTCAGGCCACAGAAGTGGCAGAAGCACCATATCCCAGAGGCTGGTCCCTCTGAGGGAGGGCTGGAAGGTCCACAGGAAGGGCTCTAGGCCAAAGAAGGAAATTTCATGTAGGAAATACTAGGTCAGTCCCTCAGACACTGAACTTGTGCCCCACTATTTCCTTAGAACTTCACAGATCTGTGAGTATCTGCTTTGGGTTCAGCAAGCCGTGTGACCTTGGGTAAAGTTCCTAATCTCTCTGGGCCTCTATCTCTTCTCCTGTGAAATGTGGATCAGAATCCTTGTTCTGCTTCCCTTGGAAGACTGTCAGGCCATCCCATGAGGGGCTGTGCTTGGAAACACTTTGCAAGACTAATGCTGACATTCCAACCTGCAATTTGCCGGTGGAAGCCTGGCCTAAGGTGGGGCTGGAGGAAGGCAGGGCTGCAGCCCACGTGACACAGGCAACCTGCCGCAGTGACACCCCTGCCACACCACCGAGTCTTCACAGAGAAGCCACAAGCAACATCAACGCTTTCCCTTCCTACCCCACCCCACCTCTGCAAAGGCAATCGCTCAGAGCGCCCTCTGCCAGCTGCCAGCTAGCTGATGGGTGCACACGGAAGGAGGTGCACATGAGAATCCCTGTTTCCAGGGCGTCTGCGGACCGTTTCACCCCTCACCCGCCCCCCTCACTTCTCTCATCTGTAAATCCTTCCTGGCTTTTACTCCTTGACTCAGTCTACCAGACAATTTCCTCTCATGTCAGAAAACAGCATGTAAAATAAACATCCTTCCCAGTAACCACCTGAGCACCTTTTAGTTATTCTTTGACAGACAAATTTGAATATCCTCTGTTTCATATCTTTAAAAATATGCCTGTTTTTACAGGGAATTAGATTAATGGAACATTATGGATTTTATTAGGGGCAATAACCGGAATGTGGTTGTCTATGAGACTGTCCTATTTCTTGGTGACCCGTGCTTAAGTATTTAAGAATGAAGCATTATTTTACTAAAAATGGTTCAGCAACAAAAGTACATGCAAAAAAGTATGCGTGCACACAAAGCAAATATGGCCAGCTGTTAACTATGAGTGTGCATAGAACTATTCTTTCCATTCTTCAGTATATTCAAATATATATATAAATTCTACATTCCTCTAAATTCCTTTCATACATTTAAAGACACACACAAAAAGTCCCATGCTTATAAACACACAAGCAGGAGCACCTGCCAGTGGCCATTCTAACTCCCAAGTCTCCCTTCTGTGAAACTTGAAAATAAGTAAATGTGGCCAGAAACACCATAAGGGGCAAGATCAGCACGTGCATTCTGAGAGCGGCCACTGAAGCCCTAAGCGGTCGTCCAGAGCAGTCTGTCTCATTGGGCAGGGGCTGCCCCAGCTGCAGGCAAAGAGGACACAGTAGATTCTGACTCACTGTCAAGCTTTTTGAGCTCCTCTTCCTGACAGCAGCCTGTGGCTTGGGAAGAAGGCCCCCAGACGCCAGCATCCTGGCCTTCAGTGAGCAAGGACTGGTGGAGATCAGCAACCTCCCCGCCTGGAATAAAGATGAAAGCAAGTGTGGGTGCGGTGGGGGGCACAGGGGTATGTCAGTAACGTTCTTCTGACACAGGAAACAGCACAGAATTCCCAGGAGGGCACTGCTGTAGCTCTAATCCTGACCAAAACTTCAGAAACACACCAAGATTTCCATCTGAAAAAAGGCTGCCTCAACCCAGACCTCCTTCCCTCCACTTCCCAAAATATCCTGGATCTTCCTTGAGTGTCTTCTCTCCATTTTAACATGCTCACTTTTCGATGCTACAGGGCAAAGCTCCATCTCCCTCCACATGGCTGTGGGCAAGCAACTCCAGGATGCTAGGAGTCAGAAAAGAAGGGCACCTCGGGGACCAGCTCCTTCTTTTTGCAAAGGAGGGATCAAAGGTTCCAGAGACGAGCAGCAACTTGCTCAAGACCACACAGCAAGTTTATTCCCGAGGGAGCCAAGTCTAGCAGCGGCAGCCCAGGAGCTGGCTCTGTCTCCCTCCCTGATGCCCTGCCCCAGCCCTCACAGGGGGACTATGTGGAGGGTTGGGCTTCCATCCTCGCCTCCCTCCCGGCCTTCGGCCTTCGCCTTTCTCCCTGGTCCACATTTAGAGCAATCAACAACGACAGCTATCATTTACAGAGCACTTTCCATGTGCCAGCTCTGGGCCTCGCCCCCTCCCAGAGTTCAGAAAGTTAAGGCTCAGAAAGGAAAGTCACCAGCCCCTAGTCACACAGCTAGTTGGTGGTAGAAATGCCTCAAAGAAGCTACACAGTGCCTTCCAGGTCCCCTCTTTTGAGAGGTTTGAGGACCCAGCTTAGTGCACACTAGCCCTTGGGGGTGGGGCAGTGGGGTTACCATAGAAACAGGCACGTTCTGCTCACCCCTGGGTCCCAGCCCCTGGTCAGCCTCTTCAGAGCCCAAGACAGCAGCTGTCTTGGGCAGCGCTGCCTCTTGGCTTTCAACTTCCTGACCTTGGACCCCCTTGGCTTGCTCATCAACATGTTTCTTGTGACTATGTTTCTTGCGGCTGGCCTTCTTGTCGTGGGCTTTCTTTTTGGGAGCTGGCTCCCCCAGAGACTCAGAGGCTTCTGCGGGCTGGAGGAGGCCCTCCTTCCCCTTCGCTCTCTTGCTGGCCTTTTCTCTGGTCTCCTCAGGGCCCGTCCTCAGGAATAAGTTCACTACAGTCTTCAGCAGCCCCTGCTGCATCCAACTCTGGGCCTTGTCCTTCTTGGAGTCCTTCAGAGGCCTCTGCTCACTGGGGAGAAACTCCTTGGTCCCCTCCTGGCTGAGGGCTGTGCCCGTGGCTCCTGAGGCCTCCGAAGCCCTTCGGCTCTTCGGACGCCTGCTCCCGTCACTGGCATTCCTTGGAAGCTCCTGTCTGGAAAGGGTAGTGGGCAGGGAGGGGCACTGGCAGCCCCACGGCTCCGAGTCCTTCCTGGGGTTCGGTGATCTGTCCAGAGACCTGGCTCTTCTCTCAGACAGGGGCTTCCTGGGGCCCCGTGGACTCTCCATTGTGCTACAACCAAAACAAACAGCTCCCTTAGAAGAGCCACTGAGACCACCCGGGGGGAGGCCCCCCGTGCTGACTGGTGTGCGCGTACACCCTGCCCACCAACCCAGGGATCTCAGCTCTCAAGGCGCTCGCTGGCCCATTTCACTCCTCAACAGCCCTGAGGGGGGGAGGCGTGTCCTTGCCCCCATTTTCCAGGGGAGGAAACTGAGCCACGGGATGTCACACCCCAGGTCTAACTGTGCCCTCCCCCTCCCACCCCTCAGCCCCCAGAAGAAACACAGCCCTGCCAACACCCTGATTCGAGTCCATGGAGACTGGTTTCAGACTTTGGACCAGAACTGTGAGACAGGTACTTCATGTCTCTCTGAAGCCACGGAGTGCGTGCTATTCTGTTCCAGCAGCCGCAGGAAATGCCCTTACCTGAGGCCCAGGCCTGCCTTTACCGGCCTTGGCACTGGGGCAGCTCACACGCATTTCAGGCCCAATAGCCTCAGTTGTCCTGGGCCTGTTACTGGCTTGTCTGTCTCATTATCTGCTAAGAGTATTTCCCAAGACAGCTCAGTAAATGGCAACTCTGTTCTTCCAGTTGCACAAGACAAAAACGTGAAGTCACCCTGGCTCCTTGTTTCTCTCACTCCCCAAATCTGATCCACCAGCAAAGCTGGTCGGCTCCACTTCCAACCGCGTCCAGACCTCAGTCAGCCATGTCCCCTCACCTCCACCACCTCCGACTTACCTAAATATTATGTATGTATTTACATCTTACCTCCTGCACTTACTGATTCATTTATTTTCAAATGTATTCTATTACTATGTCCAGCTTAGAGATGAGAGTAAGAATCTAAAGTTGTGATTTCAGATGTGGAGGAGTTCGTGTGAACGTGAGGCAGATGCATAAAGAGGGAGATACACAGAAGCGTGGTGGGGGGACAAGGGGAAGTCTGAAGGTGACAGTGACATTCACAATGCCTTCTCTCCTTCAAGCACAGGTCTGGGAGGAAGGACCAGGCAGACGGCCAGTGACCAGCAGCCACCGGCCACCGCCAGCACTGCTGAGCGTCCGCGTGTGCACAGCCTCGGAGGAAATGTCAAAATGGGCCAGGGAGAAGGCGGGCGGCTCGGAAGGCTTTATCTGCTGTTTAATGTCCCTTAAGAGGCACCTCTGAGTTACACAAAAACCTGTAGCGATACATGTTGTGCCTTACGTGAGGCGCAGGCTGATGTTCTGGAAAACCTCGGAGCCTGCCTCAGGGTCGTGCCCTGGAAACAGAGTGGAGCAGGATAAGAAGAAATCCTAGGAGAGAATATTTTTCTTTCCTCTCATTTACTTTTTTCAACAAACATTTAATAAGCTCCTATATGTACCAGAACTGTGCCTCGTGCTAGGGAAGTAACAATGACCGAGATGCAGGCAGCCCCTCCAAGAGGCTGTTCTCCAGGCAGGTGGGAGCAGGGCGTGAGGGAGCGGGGCTGTCAGCGTCTCCCTGGTCCGCCTCTCCTTAGTGACGCGTGGTTTAAACAGAAGGAAAATTTAGGTGAAGCTCTATTTGATTTTAAAGTCCAAGGAAGCCGGGCCGGAAAGATTTGCTGAATGGTGTCAGGGCCCTCACTGATTTTCCTGAACGTTCCTGTGACCACACGGTGAACACACCGACACCCTTTTGGACTCAGCCCCTCTCCCTCCCGTGGGAACTTGGCCTGCGGCACACAAAGGGCAGGAGCAGCCCTCCCTGGCTAATGAAAAAAGAGGCGCAGTAATCTTTTCAAAACCTGTCGTTGCTATGGAGACTGTTTTCGCCATTGCTGGTGATGGCAGTGTTCTCCCGCATTCGAAGGACATGCTGCTACTTCTAATCAGAGCATCTCTCATCACCAGCAGTGATGTTTTTTCAAGAACACTGTCTTGATTTGGCCACCGCCTCCCTGGAGCAGCAGTGCTCTGAGCCCAGGAGGAAGTCTGGGAGAGGGGAGGCGCAGCTGCAGCCGCAGAGGCGGGGAAGCAGGACGGTGATGTGAAACCCTGGCCACAAGAGAGTGTTTCCCAGTGAAGAGAGACTCTGGGACCTCCCACGGCCTCCTAATTCCAAATCCGTTCCCCTCCTCCTCTAAGCTGCCGGAGCATTTGCTACCATACACACCCTCTTCTTCCTGCAAACTCTTTCCCCTCTGGGCAGCTGTGACTAAGTTCAGCCTGGCTCCCCTCCCACTTGTCTGATGCTCCTTCTCCTTCAAGTTCAAAGAGTCTGCCTTCCAGCCTTGGGCCCAGGGTTAGGAGAGTGTGGCTGGAGGGCAAGCCCATCCACTGCAGGCAGACCCTCTGGAAGAGCCTCTCTTGCCCACGTGTCCGTGGACTTCAATGCCTCTAAGCCCCGAGAAGTCTGTGTTTTCTCTTACGCACACGCCAGATTCTATGTGTGCTGAAATGAGATCCTTCCAGACTTTTGATGCCTTGTCCAGAATTCATCAACTTGAGACTTTCTCTTTCCTTCCTCTTTTTTCTTGTTCTGTGCCCCTGTTTTGCCTGAGGGGCCACCCACATGCCACCTGGCTGTGGGGGAGGGACACGCTTCCAGACCAGGAACCCCAAGACAGCCGCAGATTCTCACAGCAGGAAAGCCCAGCTGCTCTTGTAAACCTGTTCAGTACCTGGGCAGAGCGTGGGTGCAGAGCGAAGTTCAAGTCTGCTCACAAACACCCAGGTGATCTACAGACCCAGGCCCTCCGATAAGACACGCCCACAGAGCTGCCCCTGAGTCACTGTGGAGCCAAAGTCTGCCGATTTTCCCCAAGCGTGTGCCATTCGGGTTTATTATCTTAGTATACGCTGACCTCATCTGAGCGTGATTCTCTCATTTACTCATCCCGCTGGGTTACTCTGTAACCGCTCTGGCGCCAGGCGGGTTTCCTAGGCTTGCCGCACGGTCCCCACCCCTGCGCCCCACACGGCAGGACCCAGCAGAAAACCAGCTACCGTGTGCGTGGCACACGTGTGGGCCCCGCCGTGTCAGCGCCCTGGGACACCGTGCTCTGCATGGAATGCTTGTGTCCCTCCCCCCAAATTCATCCTTAAATCCTAAGGTCCGGAGAGTCGGTGGGGACCGGAGCAGGTGGGGCCTTTGGCAGGCGACTAGGTCACTGGAGCAGAGCCCCTGTGAACGGATTAGTGCCCTTACAAAGGACACCCCCGGCGGCCCCCTTGCTTCTTCCATTACATGGGGACCCAGAGAGAGGTTGACTGTCTGTGAACCGGGAAACCTGCACCAAGCACTGGACCTGCCGGCACCTCAGTCTTGATCTTCCGGCCTCTATATCTGTGAGAAATACCCCATTTTTCAGAATATAAGACGCACTTCACCCCAGATTTGGGAGGAAAATGGGGGTGTGTCTTATAGTCTGAATGTAGCTTGCCTGGCGCGCTGAGGTGTGGGGGCGGCAGCCTATGTTATTTATGTTATTAAATATTTTACCACATTTTTGCTTCAAAAAAATTTTTCCTCCTCTAAAACCTAGGTGTGTTTTATGGTCCGGTATGTCTTACAATCCAAAAAGTTCAGTGTCTGCGGTTTACAAGCCACATGGTCTGTGGTCATTTTTGTCACACAATCACACTCGCACACACTGCAACCTGCAAGGACTCATATCATAGCACGTAGTATTTTTCCTGCCCCAAGTTCAAAGGAATAATTATCTGAGAATTTGCTTGCCGTCTGCCTTCCTAACTCAGGTTCCTGGGAGAGGACTGGAGCCTGCCTGCTCCCCTGCCTTGTCCTCGCTGTCCGGGAGGTTCTCGGTGATGGAGGAAGGGATGAATTGATACACAGACGGGCGCACACGACCAGCTCACCCGTGTGCGGTCACCCGGCACCCAGAACGCCCTTTCCTCTGCCTTACCTCCTCCCATCCTGGCCCCGCCCCGGCAATCAGACAGGCTGCAGAGGGAAGTGGAGGCTCTAAAGGGTTAAGAGACTTGCCCAACGTCCCACAGCCTGAAGCAGACAGAGTTGGTGCTTGACTCTACTTCTCTGGATCCTAAATTCTTTATTCTCTCTCCTACACCAAGGGGCCTCCAGTAAATGCAGATACACTCACACAGACTTAGAGGTGAGCAAATCTGCTATTTCACACCGATGGAGATAACTACATCTACGCACACACCCACTGTGACCCGAACACGCTGACTCGCAGCACGTGTGCCCCGGAGGCAGAGACTGTGAACTTGGGGCAGGGCTCACTCGTCCCTGGCCTGCAGGGTCAAAGCTACGCCCTGAGCTCAGGTTTGTCTCTCTTCAGCACAGGTGGCCCCACTGACACTCCAAAGCCCTAGAGTGAAAGCCATTCGCTGTGGAGCTCAAAGCCTTCAGCCCTGGCTCCCCCAGTGGTGTGGGTCCCCCCACAGGTCCCACCTCCCCATGTGCAGGGGGCAAGGGGCCTCCTGGGGGAGACACTCAACCCCCACTGGCCTGACTCTCTTGGGGGACAAGGTGGTCACCTCTTCCCTCAACACTGGACGCATCCCGCTCCCAGGTCCGGCTCCCAGGTATTGGATGGTGACAACTCCATGTATTCCTTCTCCTCAGTGGGGTCCCTAGCAGGGTCCTGTGGGACCTGACAAGGACTGGCCCCACCTCCTGCTGTGTAGGACTCCTTTCTGCCCCTTCCCCGGAAGACAGACGTGCGGCCCCCGTTGGAACACCTCCTGCAATGGGAACTCACTGCCCTTGGAGGCAGAACAGTCTGTGGTCAGCCAGCATGGGTTTTAAGGAAAGTTCTCCTCACACCCCTGAGCAGAAGTCACGCCACCCCTCGAGTTCCGCCTGTTCCTGTCCTTAAGCCCTGATTGTCCAGGTCTCTTGAGTCATGTTGCTTCTAGACCCCTTGCCCTTCCCTGGGTCTTTCTGCACCTAAAAACCAGAGGCCCGGATGGAGGCTCCTGGTCCCATGGGGCTCTGCCCATGGAGCCTCGGGTCACGGGGTCATCTGAGCAGCCACGTGACAGCACTGGGGCTGTGGGCTCTGCCCGGGCTGCCCCACGGCTCAGTGTGAAGTGTGGCCTTTGACCATGTGCCTGCTCCTCACTGTTATCACCAAACTACCACCTGATGCCTGGTTTCCAGAAGGTTGGGGATTTGCACTTTTGAGGAGTTTTCAACCCCCCCACCCAAGGATGAACCGCCTAGTGGTGAGCATAGGCACTGTGAGCCAGCAGCGGGCAGACTTGGAGTGAGGCAGTGGGGCGTCACTCACAAAGTTGGAGAAGGTCAGCGCCCACCACCGCCCCCCTCCATCCAGCACTGGGGCTTGTGCTCCGGGGGGCCCACATGCCACCCCACCCGCTGTATATTTTATCCCAGATCCCAGTGTGATGGTTCCCTCCAGTCCCAGTCAGAGCAGCAGGCCCCCAGAATGCTTTTCATAAGATCTCCTGTCCTTGAACTAACTTCCCCAAACCCTAAAATCCAAACCTGGATTCAACCGTAGGCAATGATATCACTTCCCTTTTAGATGTTTTTCTTTAGCACATATCTTCTCAGAAAGTCTGTGCTCTGGCCTGTACAACACCCCACAGAACAATGAGGCATGGGACGCCACCCCACTCTGCAAACGAGAAAACCGCGTCCCAGGAGAGTGTGTGCCTTGCCCAGGGTTTGCTGGGCTAGTGAGCCCGGGGCTGGGACCCGGGTTTGGAGCTTATCGGTCCAGGTGTGTTCAGAGCTCCCCCACGACACCCGACTGAGATCACGTCATCCAGCCCTACTCCGTCTTTCTAGGGATGAAGAAACCCAGGTCTGGGGAGGCCCGGCGAGCTAGAAGCAGTGATGGGACTGGACCCAGGTCTGACTCCTGGCTCTACACTACTTTCAGAACCCCAAATTACTTACACACCGCTCCAGCCCCCTAAGGAAAGAGAATCGTTCAACCAACCTTGGACCCCGAAAGTCACTTCTGTCCCAGGACACCCTTGGTTAGGACCTCCGGACCAGGCGGCTCTGCGTCGGGACACTGAGAGGCTGAGCAACCCCCTGTCTGCCAGAAGTCGTATCCAGTGAAGGGCTGTAGGCCCAGCTCCCCCAGGGAGAAGATGCTGCTATGGACGCTGCCAGTGTCCAGAGTGCCTCAGAGGATGCTCTGGTCACGGTCCTATATAAGCACCTCCCGAGAGCTGAGCTCACGGGCAGCGGACCCAGGAGCCGCCCACTACACCTCGTCCAGTCCTGTCCCCTGGCTGCTTCTCACTCCTCCAAAGATAAGAGGCTTACCTCAGCTGCCCCAGGGGGGAAAAAAAAAATGAAAACCAGTTTCGATTGACAACTTCCTTATTACACTCAAACCCAACAAGAGACCAGGGCTCAGAAAACAACTCTGGCCTGGCTGGAGGCCGGGCCTCGGAATGAAAAAACAAGTGCTGCGGAAAACTCATGTGACTGGAAAAAGGAGGACATAGTTTTATCATGTCCACACCTTCCCTCAGTTCTCTCTGAAGATGCCAAAGAGAGGAGAGTCTAGAAAGAAAAAATGGAACCAATAAGCTCCCTGACCTTGAGACAACACTCAGCTGGAGTGGACGAGGGGCACGTCTACCGAGCCCTGCTGCTCTGAGGGGAGTCGCCAGGAGTCTTGGAGGAACATTCGAACAAGTCTTTCAGAAATCACATTTTCACTTTCTGTGGCACTGGAATTTTTTTGTAGATGGAATACATACATGTTTATTATCAGAAAAGAAGAACTAGTCTTCTTTAAACCAGACCAAAAAGGTCAGAAATTTTATTTTGGTTAACTGAAATTACAAATTACAGCCTCCAGGGTGCAAATGCAGACATATTTACAAAATGATTCAAAAATAAATATTGAAAGTGCTGAGCTTTAGAGTTACCCACAGCTGGAGGCGCTCACCGGCCAGCCGTGGGGACACGCGTCTCTGAGCTTGTTTCCCACTCGAAGATGAGTCCTCTTGTTTATTTGACAAAACTATATATCTGTGTGTCGTCCAACGGTGATTGGAAAGAAAAGAAGACAGTGTGCTCAGTGCGCAGCACAGGGCTGCACACAGTCTCCCAGCAGAGCTCTTCTTGCTCCGTTCACACCGCCACAAACAGGTTTGGGTCCAGCCACGTGCTGGGCACCGTCTCAACGCTGAATTTAGAGACTGTATCAGCTCAAGAGCCCACGTGAGCTTCAAGCAAGGGTTCAATTAGACCCTCCGTTTCATTTATTTAACTGAACTGTGTTTTCCTACCCACCTCCTCTAAGCCCTGTGTGCCTCACAGGGGCCGCTCCGCAGTCACAGCCCTGGCCAGCCCTCGAGGGGCTCACCGTGCAGCCGGGACCGGAGGACACAGAGAGAGTCTGAAAGCGGGTGGAGGGGCAGGGGGAGTAGCTGTTTTGTGGGTACAGAGAATCAGCGTGGGAAGATGTGCACGTTCTAGAGATGATGGTGGAGATGGTTGTACAACAGAGTGAACGAACTTAACACTGCTGGGCTGTAGACTTACCCATGACTAAAGTGGTCAATTCTATGTTATGCCTATTTTACCACAACTTAAAAAAGTCAGATGGAAAGGCGGGCAGAGAGCCACTGGGGGTGGGGAGTGGGAAACCCTGCGCGTGGACCCACCCCAGCCCTGCCCTCCACATCCACAGGTGCTCACAGGAGGGAGCGTCCTCCGGGGCTGTCCTGGGCCTCGGCCGCCCTCTCGAACCAGGCAGAGGGGCAACCTGGCCGGGTGCTTAGTGCCCATCAAAGACCAAGCCTCAGGCATTCGTGAAGAGACACTCGGCCTGTGTCCGGGGCTGGCTCCATGATGGGAGCAGCCTGGAGCCCAGTGAAGAGGAAGGGCCCCACGTTCAAATGTGTGAAGGATTTCCAGACAGAGACCGGGAAGCGTGAAGCCAGGCGGAGGCCCTCCTGAGTGTGGCCCTGTGCAGGCCACGCAGGGGACACTGATGGGGACGGTTCCTAACCAAAAGCTGTGAGGAAGGATGGCCGGAGAAGGAGGAGAGAAAGATTTGAAAGAAAATATTTTTAAAATTTTAATTTGAGTATAACATGTAAAACTGCACAAATTGTAACTATACAATCCAATGAATCTTCACAAAGGGAGCAAACAAACCTGTGTCACTGGGACGCAGACTAAGAACCGAAACATTCCCTGCGCCCCCCACCCTCACGCTTCTCACGGGCACCACTCTCCTGCCTTCCAACAGCTTAGGTCATTTTTGCCGTTTCAGAGTCTTACGGAAATGGAAATCAGAGTCCTTATTTCTGATTTGCCCATTGTTTCTATATGCCCAGCTTTTTCTTCACCGTGTCTCAGGTTAACGAGACCCCCCCACGCTGCTGTGTGGAGCTGTGGCCGGAAATTCTCAGCTGACAACACCAGGGTCGACGAGGCTGTGGGGCGACCAGGGCTCCCATTCCCGACTAGTGGGCGTGGAGATGGTGCAGACACCGCGGAAAATGAAGGGGCGACTTCTACCAAAGCTGAATGGACACCCGCCAATGACCCAGCGCTCCTCTCCCAGATGCACACGCAACACAAGGGCACGCACATGCCCCCAACAACGTTCCCAGGAGCGAGGTGTCAGCACTCTTTGCGACAGCCCAAAACGCAAGAACCTGAAACTACCCAAAAGCCCAGTATCAGTGAAGTGAGCAAATGGTCATATATTCACAAAATGGAGAGTTTCCTTTTCCTGAGAGTCTGTATGTTTGTTTAGAAAGATTATTTTCCCTCTGTGTGACCTGGAAATGCCACATGGGGACATAGAAATAAACTTGGTCTTGAGTGGAAATGAAGGAATCAATAGTGTGGTTCCGAGTGACGCGTTTAAAAGAGAAAGAATTTCCACAAGAAACACTCAACCCGCCCTGGGTTTGGAACCTCTTTTCCCAGAAATCTGCCTCCATCCTGGCAAGAAAATTTGCATTATGGAAATTAGCACCTGCCTTTGGTGACTTCCAGGAGCAAAGAACAAGTGTGTGAACACCCGTCCTTTGCAGGGCCACACCCTCTACTGGGAATCCACCAATTCAAAGTCCAGCCCTGACACTGTGCTTGGGCTTCCCACCACCTGAGCCTCCTGGAGACCTGTCTTCGAGACCAAGGTCCCCTGGCCAGAAGGTGGTCTCAGAATGCTCTTTTGGTTCTTGGGCAAAATGACTGAATTTAGGTCTTATGCCTAAACTGCCCAATGAATCTCAATTTCCATCCACACCCCACTGCCTCAGTGCCTTTTCCTGTCTCTCCAGTGGCTCCCAGAATCTCCCTGTTCTTCAGTTGTCCCCAAGTCCCCACTACAAGTGGGCAACCCAGTTGACCATCATGACATCTAGCAGCTGTGACATCAGATGGAGCCGCACGGTCCCCAGCTCCCAGCCCCAGTGGGCACACTAGTTACAGCATTAACAACAGCAGTCCTTTGTGAAATGTTTACCCCATGTCATGCCCTGTACTAAGACCTTTTCTATTTGTTACCTAGTTTTACCCTCATAATGTTTCTAAAATAGACATTGTTTTATTTACAAATTTGAAAGTGATGCTCAAAAAGGTTAAATGCTTAAGTGACGCTGCTAAATGGCAGATTAAGACCTGTCAGTCAGTCTCCAAAGCATGTCATTAACCATGGCACTCCACTGTTAATCCGAACCTTGGTTTTCACATCTGTGCCTGGGAATAAATGATATCAGACTCACAGGATTGCTCGGAAACTTCAAGGAGTCCCTGCAAGTAGGTAGTGCCAGGTTTGGTGCAGCAGTTTTGTGCTGATGCTCATCTCCTCACGATCACAAGACGGCTGCATATATCCCTCTGCGTCACCCTCACAGTGCCCTTCAGAGGTTGACAAGAAGGGCAAGGTGATAGTGTCGTGGGTGGCTTCACTTTTAAGCTGAAGAGTTTTCCCAGACATTTCTCAGGAGATCTTTCCTGTGTCTGATTGGTCAAAACTAGTTATACGACCGGCCCTAGCTGCAAGGGAGGCTGAGAAAATGAGTGGGTGGCCAGGGAGAAAAGGGTTAGAAACAGAGTGGGCTGTCCCTGACATGGCAGTGTGGGCAATCCTCATACCTGTGGAAATGATTTTTCTATGTTTTCCTCACTAGACCATGAGAACCTTCAAGACCAGGACCTCCTCAAGTTTTCCTGTGTATCCTCAGAACTTAGCCCAGTGCTCAGCATTAAGAAGGTGCTCAACAATTCCCACTGAATGAATGAGTGAATAACTGAGTGAGTGAATCAATCAATATTTGACCTTCCACCTTCCTTGCTTATACCACCAAGAGCCTGTACATAGGCAATTGTTTATTCATATGCGAACTAAATTCGGGCTTATACAAATAAGCCTATAATGCCAATATCTCCCAGTTCTCCCAACAAGCCATTATACCTCTGGCCATTGGACATGCTGTTCTCTTTGCCCAGAACATTCTTCCCTCGCCTCCAAACTCTCTCACCCATCTGCACATGGCTGGCTCCTTCTCGCTGTCCAGGTCCCTGCCTAGATGTCACCACCTCTGAGACGCTTTCCCTGGTCTCCCCAGTGTGGCTGAGAGGCCTCTGCCAGTCCTCCTGACCCCCCACATCCTCGCACTCGCCACCCTGGGTTGTAACTACCTCCTTAGCAGGATAGCAAAGACCCATGGGAACCAGCACAGTACAATCTTCACTGGTAGAGTCTCCATAATCTTCTACTGATTGGATCACTTATACCAGAGGTAAAAAGCAACACTCTTATGTTAGGGGACAGATGGCAAATATTTTCAGCTCTGTGGGCCATATGACTTAAGTTGCAATTATTTAACTCCGCGGCTGGCGTGAGAATGAGGCCTTAGAGAACATGTAAGCAAATGAGTGTGGCTGAGTTCCCACAAAACTTATTTCTGGGCACTGAATTTGCATTTCATATAACTTTCATATGACATGAAGTATTATTCTTTTAAAAATATTTTCGACCAGCTAAAAATGTAAAACCCATTCTCAAAGGCTCTTGGCTCTGAGACATACAAAAGCAAGTGACAAGCCACAATGTGCTGACCCTCATTATCACCAAGCCACAGGCTTCAGATTTCCCGGGTCAGGGCACAGCAAGGTCACCTGGAGCAATGGTACAACAGTATTTCTTAATGTCAAGCAGAAATTCAACTTGAAAAGTACACTAAATA